AATGCTGGATTCAGTGAATCTTGTCTGGCAGGAAAGCCTTGGGCTTCGTTTTGGTGTGAGCCTTCCCATTTCCCACTGCCTCTTACCCTTTATAAATTTCTGTTTAGTTCCTTCTCTGATTTCCCTTATGGCTGTGGCTCTAGAGTAGACAGTTGTTAGAAATGTTGCCAGTGTGTCTCTCAAAGAGGTCATTGTACCCTAACACTCCAATTAATTCAGGAGAGCCAGGGAGAGAGAGGCCACTGGAGCCAAGAGTGAGTGGGCCAGGAGCTGAGAAGGAGTTAATTGAGTGGAAGGAGAAAGCAAAATAGGTCGATTAAAAGCTGAATTCCCTGTGGGCACCTTGTGTTCTTTCATTTATTTGGTTCAGGCCCTAGTTTCTGCCCTGAACAAATTCTTCCAGGCTTCTTTTCCAGATGGAGTTAAGGCACTGAATTCATTCCCAGTGCCAGTTTTTCTTTTCAGAGTCTTATCTCTGTATTGGCAAACTAGCCCCTGCCCCATGTGATGAGATAAGCCAGGGATAAACATCTGGCCTGGGGGTCATTTCATGCCAGAGAGGTTACTTTGAAGGCAGTGAGAACTTGAACAGACTGAGAGGAGGGGCATTTCAAGGCCACTGGACCAGGGAGGGAGACTGGAGAGGGCAGAGCTATCTCTCAGGGTCAGTGAGGAAAGCAGCTCACTGATCAGTTCATGTAACAGTGCAGGAGATGAAGCTAGAAAGCTAGGTTTGTTCATTAGCAGTAGGTAAGCGTTAGGTTTGAAAACAAATTTTTTTCTTATAAAGAATAAATGATTGCCTGTTATGCCAGCCTTGTACCCCAAAAAGAAAGTAGAGAGGAGGAACCCAATGAAAGAACATTCCTTGAGCAAATAGAAAATACAGGGTATCCCCCCAAAATGTATACACACTTTGAATAAATAATTTTTCATTCCAATGGGTTAAATCTGAAAAGAAAGAAACATCAATTGAGCTCTTCGCTCAAATGTGTGTATACATTTTTGGGGACGCCCTGTGGAAAAGAGACTAATTTAAATTCCAGCAAACATTAGAAATACACAAATCAATCAGGAAAAAGCATTACACAATTCAGATCATTACCAGGCTCTGGGCATCAGTGTGTGGGTGGAATGGGAAGAGAGAGTCAGACACAGAGTAAAAAGCATTTAAGTACAGGAAGGGCGGCTTAGGAGTCAGGCGTTCTGCTGAGTAGTTCCTCTGAATTCATATTTTTCAGGCCTCGTAACAGATTTGAGCCCTCTGTTTATTGGTTTTAGGTGGTGAGGGTGGAAGAAGATAGGGAAGGGGAGAAAAAGAATACACAAACAGTGGATATTGAATGTGGACATATTTCACATTTGGTTTAGATGCAGATTCTCGATACCAGACCTCTGAGCCTCTCTGTCCCAGCAAGCACCTCTGTTTTGCTCTGCTCCTCCCTGGGACCTCGACCTTTCCCTCCACAGATCCTGGCCCCGGGATCCCTCTGGGATCTCCCTACAGCAAACAGACCTGTCATAGACTCAGTTTTATGGAAACAAAACAGAAGCCAAAATAGAAAGGAAGGCAGGATCTTCCTTTCATGCTTGTTGTCTTAGTTTTATTCTAATTTCTCTTAGTTTGTAGGCAAAGAAATGGACTAAAAATTTTGTTTGGGCTATTTTCAATATATTATCTTAAAAAAGGCTTATATCCAGCCTTGTGTCTCCTGCTCATGAAAATCTGCTCATGTATCCATCTTCATGCATTCTCTAACTAGAGAAAGGAATTAAACTGAGAAGACAGATAAATGACATAACTTATGAGATGATTTATAAATGAATAGGCTTACATAGACTACTAGGCTTATAAATGTTTTTCTTCTTGTACTTAAAAAGATAAAATCTAACTTATTCTATATAATAAAAGCCTAATATGCAAATCGACCAGAATGACCGGATATAAGCCTTTTTTTAAGATAATATATTGAAAATAGCCCAAACAAAATTTTTAAGAAAAGCCCCTATTAAAATCTCACAAGTCTATAATCAAAACATAATTATCCTAGTTTTTGAAAATGGGCAAAAGACTTTAAAAAACACATTTAAAAAGTAGATACAAATGACCAATAGCATATGAAAATGTGCTCACCATCATTAGTCATCTTAAAACCATGAGATATCACTTCACATACTCCTACATTTAAATAGATTCATAATATCAAGTGATGGTGAGGATGTAGAGCAATTGGAACTTTCATATATGCCTATTGGGAATGTTCAACAAAGACCTACCCTATGACTCTACAATTGCACTCCTAGGTAACTCTCAAGAGAAAGGAATATCTATGTCCACAGAGAGATTTCTGTAAGAACTTTCACATCAGCTTGATTCATTATACCTAAACCCAGGAAGCAACCTAAAAATCCATCAGCCAGAGACTTGATAAACAAATTGTGGCACATCTATATAATGGACAGCAGTAGCGAGGAATGAACTACTGATACACACAACCTGGATGAATCTAAAATACAACGTGTTTAATACAGGAAGCCAGACATAAAAGAGTATATATTGTGATTTCATTTGAAATCCAAGAATAGGCTAAGCTACGTCTGTGATATAAATCAGAAAGTGGTACCAGAGTGGGAGAGGGTGGGGCAGGAACTGACAGGAAGGAGGCACAAGTGGACTCCCTAGGGTGATGGAAAGGTTCATATTTTGCTTTTGGTGATGGCTAAATGGATGTATAACATTGTCAAAACTCTTAGAACTAATGCTTAAAATACAGGGTGGGGCAAAAGTAGGCTTACACTTGTGAGTACACAAAACAGAAGATTTATTCTTGCATTATTAATTATTGTAGTATTTTCCATGTGAACAACTATAGACCTACTTTTGCCCCACCCTATAAGTGTATTTTATTGTATACTAGAGGCCTGGTGCATGAAAATTCATGCACTCAGGGATCCCTCAGCTCGACCTTGTGCCCTCTTGCAGACCTGGAGCCCTCGGGGGATGTCCAACTGATGGCTTAGGCCTACTCCCCCAGGGAATGGGCCTTAGCCATAGTCTGGCCTCCCTTGTGGGCTGATCAGGGGACAGTGCTGGGTGTAGCCAACCCACCCCTCATTGCCCTTCTGCCGCCGCCCCCTGCCCCCCTCGTTACAATTGCTGTCCCCTCCCTCTGCCCACTGGCACTTGCCTTGGCTGGCCTGCTGCTGCCCGCTCGCCAGCCCCGCCCCCCGCCAACCGGTCATTCTGGTCGATTTGCATATTAGGCTTTTATTATATAGAATAACTTAGATTTTATCTTTTTAAGTACAAAAAGAAAAACATTTATAAGCCTAGTAGTCTATGTAAGCCTATTCATTTATAAATCATCTCATAAGTTATGTCATTTATCTGTCTTCTCAGTTTAATTCCTTTCTCTAGTTAGAGAATGCAGTACTTTTCAAAGATGGATACAACAAAAACCTGTTTTGCCTGGCAATCTGATCCTCAAGCTTCCCACAATAAGTAGAGACTAGGTTTGCCTGCTGAGCTTAATGGATCCCTTCATTGACCTGAAAAGATGTGGGGGCATGAGGTGGTATTTTTACCTTTCCCCCACCTCTACGTCAAACACAGTGGTACACTTCCAATGAAGAAAGGTCTCACTGTTAGACAAAGAATGGAAACCAGTGTCCCAGAGAGCAGCCCCTAGTTCCTCATTGCTTGCCTTTCCCCACCCAGTCGCATGGCCCCAACACAGAGAGAAGAGTGCCACCTCCCGCTGCCTCCAGCTGGGCTTCTCCTTCCCTTTGTCCCTGATGTTGCTGGAGCAGCAGCTCTTGGTGATGGGAGGTTATGCTGAGTGCCAGCGGCCGCGAGGCCAACATCATGAAAACCACTTAGCTGGGCTCTGGGGTGTGTGCTTGGGCTGCCTGGGCCAGACTGTGGCTGTTGCATCCTGGATGAAGCTTTCACTTTCTCTTCTGGGAACGGGGTGACAGTCCCTGTGCCATTGCCTTCCTGGGGCTGCTGTGCGGGCAGCACAAGAAAACAGACCTGAAAACCTTGTTAGAAAAGTTTCTATCTGCTTCACATGCCAGGTGGAATTATCATCCAGTTCGGTACACCTGAGTTCCTGCCCTGGGAATGATGGCAGCATCTGCAAAGGAAGTGTAGGATAAACTGTGCAATCACCTGTTTGAGAGTAGATGAGGGGAAGCCACATGAGCAGAGGTGTAAAGAAGTAACAGATGAGCAAACTCATACTAAGACAAAGTTTTCATTCGTTACATGCTTCCATCTTTATTAGAATTGTTAGTGCCTTTCAATAGAGTATAATCTGCTTGGATTCTGTAGCTGCACTATACATTTCCCCTTGTACAGTCGCCATCTCCGGGTGTCAGCCTTTGTAATAGAGGGAGAGAACCCGTACAAAAGACCACAGGAACCAGAGGAAGATCCTGGCTTGGATGGACACCAGCTCTCAGTGATTGTGTAACCTCAGGCCACTTACTGGGCTTCTCCAGCCCTCTGTTTCTGTTTCTTGAAAAGAGCTACACTTAATCCTTAAGTTCTGAGGACTTTCCAATGATGAGGTGTTTTAGAGTAGTTGTGTGGTGTGGTGGAAAAAGTCCTTGCAGTCAGTAGAAGACCTGAGCTCCAGCCTTGGGTCTGCCCCTTGTGAGCAGGGTGAACTCTGCATGGCATTCCACCTGTCTGAGTGAGCAGCTTCCGCCCTCCAGGGCATTGCTCTCGAACTGGATGGAGTACTAAATACTTTATAAACCATAATTCATCATATAAATGTCTCCTGCCATTCCACTGCTGTTGCTGTAGACATCGCAACACACTTTCAAAGGCATGCATGCATGAGTGTGTGGCCATGATGCTTAAATGGAGTCGAAGAGTCAGAGATGCAAAGCCGAGACTGATCTGGGAGTCAGGTTAGTTAATAAGGCTTGGGATCCATGAGCTTAGCAGCCTTTGGACCAGCGAACCTGGACTGATGGTTGTTCCCTCATAGGTGACAGCAGAGCTAGACGCCTGGAACGAGGACTTGCTCCGGCAGATGAACGACTTCAACACGGAGGACCTGACACTGGCAGAGCAGCGGCTGCAGCGCCACACGGAGCGGAAGCTGGCCATGAACAACATGACCTTCGAGGTCATCCAGCAGGGCCAGGATCTGCACCAGTACATCATGGAGGTCCAGGCCTCAGGTAGGCAACCTGTCCCAGCCTTGTTCTCCTGGCAGGGAGGTGATGAAAACAAGAACACCAGCTTGACTCCAAAGTGCACTTCCACACTGTTATTCATTTCAGTCCTACAGGTATAAGGAACAGATGTTTGCCCCCATTTTAAAGAAGAAGAAAACTGAGCATGAGAGCTAAAATAACCTGTGCGGGGCTGGCCAGTCAGGCTGTAGTAAAGATGGGACTAGGACCAGGCTCTCCTGGTGCTGTGGAGAGAATGGGGGAAAACCAGTGGTAGAAATTAGCGCAGATTCCCCAAAAAAATTGTGGCCTGGAAAAACAAACCAGGTGGGCTCCAAAAGCAGTCAGCCATCCCTGTGAATCTATTCAAATGTGTAGACATCTGCTATTCCACCCCCTATAACCCCCCACACACACTCTCTCCACCCCCAGGGCTGGCTCCTTGTCTCCAGCCCGGGCCTCTCAGAGTCCTGTGTTTTATCGCTGGTCTGTGCATGAGTGTAAGAAGTGCTGATAAAAATTTATGGCAAGGTTGTATAATTTTATAACTCCTCAAAAAAAACATGGTCAAGTTACCCAGATTTGACTTCTTTTCCTGCTCAGGATTTATTCACTACCCTAGAAGTGCACGCAACCTTACTGTTATATCTCCAGACCGGCCTTTGTTGTTAGGACTGGAGGGAACCATCACAGTCACTAGTCCCAGGAGCCTAGAAAAAGAAACCAGTCATGTGAGCACATACCATTGGAGTGCTAGAACCCAGGCCTGTACACCCAAACCCACCCATTGCCCTTTTCCTCCTCACCCCTTCACCCTTGTTGGCTCAGGTTTCTTACCCTCTTAGAGGGGGCAGACACAGGCTCAGGCCACCAACTTTTTAAAGCACTGTTGGTCTATAGCCCTGTTGATCATGAAGAATATTTACAAGCATGGGATTGTTAGGCAGATCTTTTTTTTTTTTTTTTTTTTTTCTTTTTTTTTTTATTGCTTAAAGTATTACAAAGGGTATTACATATGTGTCCATTTTATCCCCCCGCCCTAGACAATCCCCTAGCCTCCCCTATCCCCCAATGTCTTATGTCCACTGGTTATGCTTCTATGCATGCATACAAGTCCTTTAGTTGATCTCTTACCCCCCTACCTCCTGCCCCGCAACCCTCCCCGGCCTTCCTGCTGCAGTTTGACAATCTGTTTGAGGCAGCTCTGCCTCTGTATCTATTATTGTTCAAAAGTTTATAATGGTCTCTATTATCCATGAATGAGTGAGATCATGTGGTATTTTTCCTTCATTGACTGGCTTATTTCACTTAGCATAATGCTCTCCAGTTCCATCCATGACGTTGCAAATGGTAAGAGTTCCTTCCTTTTTAGAGCAGCATAGTATTCCATCGTGTAGATGTACCACAGTTTTCTAATCCATTCATCTACTGATGGGCACTTAGGCTGTTTCCAGATCTTAGCTATGGTGAATTGTGCTGCTATGAACATAGGGGTGCATATATCCTTTCTGATTGGTGTTTCTGGTTTCTTGGGATATATTCCTAGAAGTGGGATCACAGGGTCAAATGGGAGTTCCATTTTCAGTTTTTTAAGGAAACTCCATACTGTCTTCCATAGTGGCTGCACCAGTCTGCATTCCCACCAGCAGTGCACAAGTGTTCCTTTTTCTCCACATCCTCTCCAGCACTTGTCGTTTGTTGATTTGTTGATGATAGCCAGTCTGACAGGTGTGAGATGGTACCTCATTGTTGTTTTGATTTGCATCTCTCGGATGATTAGTGACTTTGAGCATGTTTTCATATGTCTCTTGGCTTTCTGAATGTCCTCTTTTGAAAGGTGTCTATTTAGGTCCTTTGCCCATTTTTTGATTGGATTGTTTATCTTCCTTTTGTTAAGTTGTATGAGTTCCCTATAAATTTTGGAGATTAGGCCCTTATCGGATATGACATTGGCAAATATGTTTTCCCACACAGTGGGTTTTCTCGTTGTTTTGTTGATGGTTTCTTTTGCTGTGCAGAAGCTTTTTATTTTGATGTAGTCCCATTTGTTCATTTTCTCTTTAGTTTCAAGTGCCCTAGGAGCTGTATCAGTGAAGAAATTGCTTCGGCATATGTCTGAGATTTTGTTGCCTTTGGATTCTTCTAGAATTTTTATAGTTTCCTGTCGTACATTTAAGTCCTTTATCCATTTTGAGTTTATTTTTGTGTATGGTGTAAGTTGGTGGTCTAGTTTCATTTTCTTGCATATATCTGTCCAATTTTCCCAGCACCATTTATTGAAGAGACTATCTTGGCTCCATTGTATGTTCTTGCCTCCTTTGTCAAATATTAGTTGAGCATATTGGTTCGGGCTGATTTCTGGGCTCTCTATTCTATTCCATTGATCTATATGCCTATTCTTGTGCCAGTACCAGGCAGTTTTGAGAACAGTGGCTTTGTAATACATCTTGATATCTGGTATTGAGATCCCACCTACTTTGGTCTTTTTCAGGATTGCTGCAGCTATTCGAGGTCTTTTTTTATTCCAGATGAATTTTTGGAGAGTTCGTTCTAGATCTCTGAAGTATGCCGTTGGTATTTTAATGGGGAGTGCGTTGAATTTATAGATTGCTTTGGGTAGTATGGACATTTTAATGATGTTGATTCTACCAATCCATGAACACGGTATGTTCTTCCATCTGTTTATGTCTTCCTCTATATCTTTTTTCAACGTCCTGTAGTTTTCTGAGTAGAGGTCTTTTACCTCTTTAGTTAAGTTTATTCCTAGGTAGCTTAATTTTTTTGGTGCGATGGTAAACGGGATTGTTTTTATAATCTCTCTTTCTGAAAGTTCACTATTGGTGTATAGAAATGCCTCGGATTTCTTGGGGTTAATTTTGTATCCTGCTACATTGTGTTAGGCAGATCTTAACAATCAAACTTGACTTTAGGGTACTGTGTTTCTTTTAATGACTTGAAGGAGTACATACCAGCATTCAAAGGAACTTCACTTCTAACCAGAGGAGAGACACCTAGTAAATTCTACTCGCTTGGGTCAGCATGACATTTTCTTAAATTTTCGTTTGTGTTGTGAATAGGTCTATTTAGAGGTGTGCAGACTGTGCCTCCTCATACAGCCCCAGGAAGGGTCATTCACATTGTAGTCTATTGCTGACTGTTTTATGACAATGCCCAGGCCCCACACCTGAGCTACTCTGATTTAACAACCTCTGAATGGGCCTTGGGCATCAATCAGCAAAAGCTTCTCAGATGATTCCACTGTGCAGCCAGGGCTGAGACCACTGCTTTTCATGCAGTGGTTAAATCACAACAGATGATATCTACGAAATGAATGCCCCAGGAGACTCCCAAATGTGGCTCCCAGAGCAGCAGCACCTGAGGACTTGTTAGCAATGCAAGTTTAGCCATGGCTGGTGGGCTTGGTTGGGCATCATCCCATGCACTGAAAGGTTGCTGGTTCGATTCCCGGTCAGGGCACATGCTCAGATTTCGGGTTCCACCCTCACTAGGGGGCATGTAGAAGGCAGCCAATTGATGTTGCACTCTCACTTCGATGTTTCTCTCTCTTCCTCTACCTTCCTCTCTCTCTAAACATCAATAAAAATATATTTTTTTAAATGCAAGTTTAAAGGCCCATCCCTTGGACCTATCACATCAGAATCCCTTGGGGTTGTGTCCACCAACCTGTGTTTCAAAGCTTTCCAGATAATTCTGATGTACCACTGCCAATCTAGGTCCTTGCTACTCAAAGCGTGGGTTATGGACCACCACTGTTGGCATTGTTGAGCGCTGATTAGAAATGCTGAACTCCAGGCCTTATCTCACACTTAGGAATCTGGATCTGCATGTTAACAAAATCTCCAGGTAAATCGTGTGCACATGATAGTTTGTACCTTTTTAAAGGCCTTATCAGGAATGGCGGAAACTGTGATCCTTCCTCTGGACTCAGGGTTTCACCCTATGGCTTGCCCTCATGATGTTCACAATAGCTGGCTGTCCAGCTGAGCCTAGGAAGCATGAGAGAATGCAGACACAGTGCCTAGGAGAGAGGCCTGGGGAAAGACGCCCTACAGGGACGTTCACTCTTCATCCCTCAGTATCGATTGTCTGGCAGGAGGGAGCTTGTCTGCCTGGAAACCTGTGGCACTTAGGACTAGGGTTCTGGCATGACCTGGGGGAAGCCCACTTCTGTGCCAACAGCCAGGTATCCACGGTAACAGGAAAATCTGCTGGGAGCTAGCAGTCCCTGAAGACTGCTTAAGATGAGCGGGCGGGGGGTAGTTGTACTTGGCGGCCACCTTAACCATGAGGGCTGCGTGGGTGAAAACACCCCAGGCAGATGGGCTGCCCACCCCCACAGTATCCTGTTCTAGAAATGAGCTTTGTCAAAAGAGGCTGCATTGGCCTGTTCAGGCCTCTCTGCTGGGACTCGCTGTTCCCCGCTCCTACCTCATCTAGCTGCACAGTCTGGCATAGCCCAGGAGGCTTCCGGGGGAATGAATCCAGGGGCTTCAGGGACACTCACTCTGCTGCAGAAAGCCTGGTCCTGTGGAGGAGGCAGCTATCTCCTCTCTGACTGGGGGGCAGGAGGGCCGAGTCATGTCAGAGCTGGAAGTGGGGAGGGGGTGGTTGGGGTGGACCCAGCTGGACCCAGGTGGCTGAAGGCTGCAGGATTTGAGAGACGCTGGACTGAGGCTATAAGGGGCTTGGGCATTATGATGTACATATAATGAACTATGTTATGTTAGAAAAAGGATAATAAGCAAAATTAATAATTTGGCTGATATTTCGCCCTTCATGCTAAATTAAGGCCTTATGCTTTGATTTTGTAGGAGTAAATGGAAGTAGAGAGTTTCCATACACTTACTTTCAGGTGTGAAATTTATAACATTGAGCCAGGTTCTACTAAATCGCTCTGGGTGCCAACAACTCTAACCAAAACAAGAGCCTTTGCTTAAATCGACATCAGCCTTAGGAACAGAAGGCAAAGTCAGAACACTCTCCTCACTTGCTCACTGTGCTTTCCTCACATTAGGGGCGTCTATTTGAGCCTCAAGTTGGGAGGTGTTTGCTGGTAAGAGTCAAGGTGGAGGAGTATGCTGGCTGAATTCAGGGTCCAGTTCCTCCATCAAAAGTTGGAAGTGCCTTTTTTTTTCTCTGTAGACCTTACTTTCTTTCTTTTGTCTAGTGTGGCAGGTGGACCTTGATTCCTAAAATTCTCACTTTCCATGCTGCAGCCCCATCATCAGCATTGGTTATGCCACAGGTCTTCTGTCTAAAGCAGTGGTTCTCAGCCTTCTGGCCCTTTAAATACAGTTCCTCATGTTGTGACCCAACCATAAAATTATTTTCGTTGCTACTTCATAACTGTAATGTTGCTACTGTTATGAATCGTAATGTAAATTTCTGATATGCAGGATGGTCTTAGGCGACCCCTGTGAAAGGGTCGTTCGACCACCAAAGGGGTCGCGACCCACAGGTTGAGAACCGCTGGTCTAAAGTAATCTGGCCATGCAACTGTTATACTTGACCTTACGAATAACACAAGAGCCATATGCCCTGTGGATATTTTCCTTTTGTGGTTGAATCACAGCTTCAAGTTCTCTCCTTATGCAAGGCTTTGAAGTGAAAACATCTCTGGAGTCTGTGGCAGTGATGCCTAAAATTTATTCCCACCACAGTATTTGAAAATAAATACATTTTAAAATAAATTAAGTTGGGGGGGGTGGCGAGGGAATCACTCTTCTCTTTGAGCATAGAGGTTAAGGCGCAGCGAGGAGAGGGTGCAGCGAGGAGAGGGTGCGGCGAGGAGAGGCTTGGCATCCAACCCTCACCCCCTACTCCCTGGGTGTCCTTGAGCATGTGACTCACTCTCTAAGCCTCACCATTCTCTAGAAAATAATGATCATGAAAATAACAACCTGAGAGAGCCACTGTGAGGATGCAGTGGGATAATTCCTGAGCATGGTAAGGGGTCCGTAGAGCTTGATGATGATCATACATTACTCTGGTGTTCCAGCACACAGTGTGTTTGGTTGGGGTTACTTGTGTTCCTGTAGCTTCTGCAGCAGCTACAGTGAGGGCAGGACTCTTCCTTCCTTCTCTGTACATTCCCAGCCCTGGCAGGGGGTTGTGTCCTGCCCAAAGCAAGTTCTCAGTAATCATATTGGCTGAATCATCAAGATGGAACATCATTGTGGGTGAAACAGATGTAGGTAAAAATAATAGGCCACAAATAATTTTACTTATGTTGTAAAAAGAAGGAAAGGCCTGTGTTTTTCCAAAATGGAAGCCACTCTGGGGTTGATGGGAATGTGGACCTGGGAGAGCAGGTCTGAGAGGAGGGCAGAAGAGAACCTGATGTAAAACAAGCGTTCTTGAGACTTGGCTGCGTATTTAGAATCCCATGGGGAACTTCTTTAAAATACCAAGGTCTGGGCCCCACCCCTCAGGGATTCTTACTTAATTAGTCTGGAATAGGTCCAGAGTTTTAAAAACTTCCCAGGTGATTTCAATGTAGAGCCAAGGTCGATAATACTGATCTAAAAACCTGATTAAAGGACTGTAATTTCTGAACTGAGTGTAATACTGAGGCAGTGAAGTGGAAAGAGAAGTGGAAAGGTGGGGGAGAAAAAAGAAAAAAAGTTGTTCTCTATCCAAGGCAGATATATATATTTAAAGAACACAGTCGAAACGCATATTACAAGAATGGGCAGTATAACCAGGAATCCCCAACTCTTTCCCTAGACCATAGATGCCTCTCCTTGAGGAAATGAAAGTCCCCTCTGCGACCCCCGGCCTGGCAGCAAAGGAAAGCAAAGTGAGAGTTTATTACTAACTGTGGCCTTGAGCCCCAAATAAGCACAATGCCAAATAGTCTAGTAACTGCGTGTAACAGAAGGACCATTGGACATCTGATCCAGTGGTTCCCAATCTTGTTTGCATGTTGGACTCACCCAGGAGCTTTAAGATTTACCGATTCTGGTGTTCTTGGTCTGGGGTGTGGGCATGGCATGGTGACCTTTTAAATTTCTCCAGATGAATCTAATGTGAGCTTAGGTTGAGAGCACTGGTCTAATAGTGTCCAAACTACCATAGTTTCTAGTTATATACTTTGAGCAAGTACATAAATACCAATGGTAAGATTTTATGTTTACATTTTATACAAACCATTCCACAGTCCCATCAGTAATCAATAGTAAATGTGTTATAATTTCCCTAAGGGAAAGGAAAAAGTGGGAAAATGGGTAATTTTTAGACTACTAAAGGCCAGGCACTGTATATACTGGCACTTTATCTCTGAGTCCTCACAACACGTCCAGAAGTCTTGGGATTCCCATTTTACCCAGGCTCAGAGAGGATATGGAGTTCAGATACCATGGATAGGTTACAGCCCATGGATTCAAAGTTACATCTGTCCTTCCCCAAAGCTCTCAGGTACTTTCCACCCCAGCACAGGGCCTGAGTTCCTCCCTAAAGAGGCCCATGTGTTCATTGAACAGGTATTTATTGGGTGTATGAGTCAAGCACTGGGCTAGGTCCTGAAGATGCGAAGAGGCATAAGATAGACTTGGACCTACTATCAGAGAGCCTGCATTTCTGCGAGAGCATGGACAAATTAATAAGGGACAAGCCTCAATGCAAGTGTTCTGATGGAGGGATGAGAACAGGGCTTTGTGGGAGCACATCAGAAACTTCAATACAACATTCTATAAGGAGACTGACAAACTATTTTATTACAAACCAGAGGCCCAATGCACGAAATTTGTACATGGGTCGGGTCCCTAGGCCTGGCCGGCAATCAGGGCTGATCTGTGGGGTGACCAGCAGGGCGATGGGGGGCCCTGCTGGCACCCACCTTGGCTGGCCTGGGGCCTACAGGCTGGGAGCAGCTCCTGCATTGAGCATCCGCCCCCTGGTGGTCAGTGTGTGTCATAGCAACTGGTCATTCCACCAGTTGTTCTGCTGTTTGGTCGATTTGCATATTAGGCTTTTATTATATAGGCTACACTTCAATACTTGATACAAAGAACAAACATTCTTGTTGCATTTCTGAGAGCCCCTGAGGAGGCTAATTAAGCCTCTGATTGGGAGTAATGTCAACACAAGAAAACTATTTGCTGTTGATGGATGGATATGTGCCAACTGATTGGTTTTAACTGGGACCCATTTCAATGTGTTGGAGGCAGTGGGAGAGAGCGGTGAGTTTCTATTCTTTTGGGTGCAGCTGGAGTAAGTCTTCCTGTTTTCCCATTCTCCATCCACAACATGATGCGCTACTGAGGAGCACAGAGGTGTCCTAGGCCTCGTCCTCACCCATTCCAGTTCCTGTGTTCCTCTCTCAGAAAACAATCCAAGCGAGGTAGATGAGAAAGAAGGGCAGGCTGTGAGCCTCTTCTGGATGATGTCCTAAGCAGGTGGATGACCCCTTTGATGCGTTGCTAGGCGTAGAGGCCTATTTACCGGCAGTGTGGCAGGAGTGAGCCATGAGCTTGCTGTAGAAAGACACTGTGCCCAAGCCCAGCATCCTAAACGTCAGAGACGCATGCAGAATGAAAACCGAGCTGGGAAAAACCCACATGGTGGCTGGAAGCAGGAAAGAGCATCTGCTTCTGCAGATGGATTTTAATTAGATTTTCAGAAGGTAAACATGGGGTCAAGGGTCATCCCACTTAGCTGAGCTGCAGGTGTAGAAATGTTGTGTTTCTTTGTATTTTTTATTTCAGTCAAGGAGATGCCCTACCTCATCCTCTCGGGAACTGAAAATAGTAAGTGGAGGGAGCTGACTGCCAAAAGGACAGGCTGTTCTTTTCCGTCTCCTGTGAATATGTCAGGGGCGAGGACTGGGAATTATGAAACCGGCAGAAAAAAATAAACATGAGAAGACACTGAAATTATTACCATGTAACACCAGAAAGTTTCTTTCCCACTCTCCCATATTGTCGTTATATAAAACGCTATTTTTTGCCTCTATAGAAATGAATTTCCTTTCGCGAGTATAGCCGTCCCCTGTACTCCCCCGACTGTATGCTGCAGGTGTATCTGTGATGGCAGAGGTGAATGTCTGATGGTGTGAGAGCAATGGGGGCACCTTCCAAATCAGATTTCTTTTTCAGGCGGCCATCCACTGAGATTGGTGGGCTCCCCAGCTGACCAGCTAACGAGAATGTGCCTTGGGCAGAAGTGCCTGAGACAGTCTTTTTGGCTTTGTTTTGTATTTCCCAGTACGATCCAGAGGCTGGCTTGTGAATATTCTGGGCGTTGCAAATCCCCCCTCAGAGACTGCTGGGTGCGGTCTTGTCTGGGGATGGACTTCCAGAGAACCAGCTCTCTATAACACCAGTCGATATAAAGAGCTGACCATCTGTTGAATAGTCCCAGGCAAAGGACCAGTTAACCCAAAAGAGATGCCATGTGGGAGCATCCCAGACAAAGCCCATTATGGCCGTCTGCCCAATTTCACAGACGGATGCATAGTAGTTGGGAGGGTGCTGATAATGGCCGTTTCTGAATTCCAGCTTTCATATGAATATTGAATGAAATATAGTCTTTATGGTACTACCTGGTTTTTAATTGTTTATCTTTTTAAATCAGGAATTGAGTTAATCTGTGAGAAAGACATTGATCTGGCAGCTCAGGTGCAAGAGCTACTGGAGTTCCTCCACGAGAAGCAGCATGAGCTGGAGCTCAATGCGGAGCAGACGCATAAGCGGCTCGAGCAGTGCCTCCAACTGCGGCACCTCCAGGCTGAGGTCAAGCAGGTGAGCCTGGCTCCTCCACCTTCCACTCAGGCTTCCCACCCGGGCTTCCCAATGGGGCTGGGCCTGCTCCTGGTATGGGGTGAGGCAGACAGAGCCACAGGTGTAACCAGACCTCAGAAATAGATACGTGAAGGAATGGTTGTATTAGCTTCTGAAAGCTGGGCTGCCATCTATTGGATCTAACAAACAGGTCTAAGGGTCCAGTGGCCCTAACAAGAAATGCATGATTCCGCTTTCCTAACAATCTAAGGAGAGCATTCCTGAGTTGCCCTCAGTCACTGAAGGTTTTTCTCTTCCTTTGCATCCCCAATCCTGGCATACAGTTCATGGGAAATACAAATCCTTTATGACTAAGTATATGGAGCCTTTAGAGCTAGGTTGATTAATTTGGGGCCCCTGTGTGCCTAGTGTAGTCCCTGTCACATAGCTGATAGTCAATACGTGGTAGCAGTTGCCATCATTCTTTTCAGTGTGGTTCTGATAACATTTTCTTACAACAATAAAGTCAATTTTAAAAAGGAAAAAGGGTTCTTATATGATACTAGCCATTTTTCTAAGGACATACCCAGGTCTCGAGGAATCTCTAGGGACATACAATGACCAATGGCACATTTAAAAAATACTACATATTTTACCCTTATTTACACTGACTGCTAGAGCTTTTAGATTTAAATCTATTAATGTACCCCAGGGAACAGAAACATCGTATTTGATTTAATGATTGCTTGGTCCCTTGGAGTCAGGGTATTCCTTGCTAATGCCTATGCCTTAGTTATAACATTGTTATTTATTAAAGTGGACAAAAGTATCTTCTGTGCTCCCCTTCTCCCCCAGTCATTGCTCAGCCAGAGCCCACAGACGCTGTGCTAAAGATTCCCCACTGAGCCCCAGGCAAGACCAGATCACAGCGCTGCCATCCAAGTCGTTTTTCCGCGTAGTTGCACTGGGAACCCGTGTGGCTCTTTGGAGAGAAATGTTATTCACGGGAACACGGTGGGAATCCCGGCAGGCCCGGAGCAGTGAGGAGAATACAAATCAGTCATTCTTGGCAGTACTTTCTTTCAAATGAGAAGTATTTTTTTCATTCGTGATCTCATTATAGGTAAACAAGCCATGTGGGGAAGTGGTGTATGTTTACTTCACAAATGAGGAAACTGAGGTACCATAGGATTAATGCTCCCAGGGCCTCTTGACCAACTCAAGCTAAAACTTGCACCCAGGCCTCCTAAATCCAGGGCCCTACAATTTGCTTCTGCAAGACCCCATGCCCACCCTGGGGTTTCCGGGGAAAGAGAAAGAAGCCCTGCAGCAGCATGCAGTCTGGGTTTCCTTGGCCGCAGCAGCATTACACTAAATCGCCACAGGCGTGATTTACACCTGGCAGCGAGGTGGCACCTGCCCACTCACTCAGCGGGCTCCAGAGACCATGGGGTCCTCTGCTCTGCATGCTGTTATTCCTGTCAGTGGACAGTGGCAGGGACGATCATCCGAACAAAACAGAGCAGATGAAAATTATCTCTATTTGACTTTGAAATGAATCTACTTTTGCTGTTGTTCCTGGTTTTTTACTTATTTATTGTTTTGTTCCAGCATTAATAGTGTAGAGCCAGCACCCTAATTATGTTTTTTTGTGACTGATATGAAAATGGAAATGAATGTTCATCCTCCAAGTATACATCCTGTGTAGAATGGGGAGCTGGGACGATGATAACACAGTTTGTCAAATGGGAAAGTGAAACATCTATCTATGAATAATTCAGGCTTAACGAATGTCTGTATACATTTGCATTCAGCATTGTATGAGTTGGAGAACCAAAGCAGAACCCTCCTATGGGGCTGAGGAAACCCCGTCTCCCGCCATGCTCAGAATGACACACAGTGGGGCTGGAGTTCCAGATGGGGCTGGATTGCTCGCATCAGAATTTAGGGAAACTGTGGAGGCCTTTGCAAAGGACAGCGGCCTTGGGGGTGACCAGGGACTGCTGTTCGGTCCAGCCACCATGCCTCATTAGACAGACGTGTTTTCCTAGTCGATGCAAGGCTCTTTCTCCAGAGAGTTGTCTGGTCCTGTTCAGGGCAGGCATTTGCGTTTGATGGAAATTGGTGGAGCAGGAAATATTGATTCGGAAGCTGTCGACACTTGGAAAGAGAGAGTTAATTTAGATGTCAGTATTGATCAATGGGGCTACATTTAGACACCAGCTTGAGAGTTTTCTTTTGAATATACTCTCAAAAAAAAGAAAATAATAAAAGGAAAAGGACATTTAATGGAAATGCCATCAATGGGGACAGAAAGGGAGAGGACAACAATGTGTTATTATACTGCTCTGTCGTTGAGCTCTCAGAAAAGAAAGGTTGAGATGTGGCCATCATAACCTTAAGTGTTGTTATGTCACAGTTACATGAAACTTAAGCTTTGAAGGGGACGATGCCACAGACATTAGACTGAAAATTATTTTCAAGTGTTCAGGACAAAGGAAATTGGTTAATGCAACTGATTTTTTTCCTGAGGGATTACCTAGGACTTTGTATGTAAGGTAAATGGCCCAGATACCTCCAGAAAAATGTTGAGTCTTAAAGGGAAACCACTTTCCTGATTACAGCCCATGGTCCAGGGCCCCAGACCACCCAGATGCCCCCTTTCTTCTAGAAAAGTCGTTCAGATTATTCTCTAGACCCCACAAAATGCTCTGATTGCTTTCCAGGAAAATTGCTACTCTGGTAAGGATGACCTCACATTTATTAGATAATTCAGGAAGATTGGAATAGCCTATTTAATGGGCATAAAACTAAATGAATTTCCATATGTATTCCTGAAGAGCAGTGCATTTAGCAGAAAATAGGCCAAAATGGATTTATAAGATTTGGGGGCTCTAAGCAATGGAGAAAGAAACCACATGTATTTGTCTACTAAAGATATTGACTTAGATTCACCCTATGGACCAAATACTGGCCAAAACTTGCATAGTGTCAAGATGGACATTCAAAACAAAGGAGAAAAATATTATCCTATTCTCATATTCCTGTCGAGAATACTGTGTTCAATTGGGTTCACTATACATCGAACTTAGAAAAGAGAATAAATCCAAAAAAGAGGCAACCACTTTCCATTTCTCTCAAAGTGGTGATAATGAAGAAGACACATGGCCATGGCCTATAAAACCATGATGGATGAACCCATACAGTCTCAAACATCATGAATATTTAGAACTAAGAAACACTGAAAACATGAGAGGCTCCCAGTTACCATCTGAGAGGCTGATGATTTTCCTGTGGCTGGGGTTTCAGAAGTGGCTGTGCCTCGTGATGATATCTGCAGTCGCAGACCTCGGAGTCAATGGCTTTGAGTGCAACCTCACAGACTTATTGTCAGCATGACCTAGAGAACAAAGCCATGTACCTGCAGCTTCCTCAGCCCACGTGGTGGCAGGGTCCACCTGCCCAGCTTGGATGGCTTCCTCCTTTGTGGACATCCACATCCAGTTAACTAAACAAGTCTCCTAACCCAGTTAGCTGAGCTTTCTTGGCCTGAGGAAGCAATAGATCTCCATTTCTGTCCCCTCTCTCAGTTCTGACTGAGTCCCCAAGCATCCATACTCTTTCAGTCCCTCATTTCTGGAAGCTAAGTTCTCTGGTATACTGTGGCTATAGGGGCAGTCCCAGAATGTTGAAAGAAGTATGGAATGTGAGGGCTCAGAGTGGCCTTCAAAGATCATCTAACCTGTAGGTAAACTGTTGCCTCAATGATTGATCCACATAAAATGTTCACTTGATGGATTATATTTTATGGTTTGCAAAGTACTTTTACATTAATTATTTTATTTCGTCTTTGCCCTGTGACTTAGGCAAGCAAGGGGTTACCATTTTACAGAAAAGAAAACTGAGCCTCAGAGAGATGAAATGTTTCCAAACGCACACAGCTCAGGATTGGTAGAACCAACACGTTCTCATTTTTATTATAGTATTTCTTCTACTACCTTGTACTCATTTGGATGCTCACCGAAGAATAAATAACCAACCTTGTGAACCAGGAACACTAAGGACTATAGTAATAGAGAATTACACCAACAAGAAGTGTCATTAATCAGAGTACAAAGACTATGATAACAAAACAGCTAAGATACCTACCTAACATCAGGAGGGCCAGAATATGCCAATAAATACTACAAATACTGGGACAAAATTAATATTCCCAGACTTTCTCTCTTCTCATTGTGAGAGGTACAAATGAAGAATCATAGCATTACCTAGCTTTGCTCCAGAACTAAAAATGATCACCACCACTATTATCCTGCTATGTTGCATCAACCCTGATTACAGCGGGTGACGGTACTGCCATCCTAACCTTACAAATGAGAAAACTGAGACTCAGAGGGCTAGTAACAAAGCCAGGTGTGCTGACTTCAGATTTTGTGCTCTTTCTATACTATCTCAGTTCTGCTCCTAGGACTAACTCAATCATAGGGATCAGTCTCACCCTGACTGAACCTGAGGATGGATATAAACTGCCATGCATTTTTTATCTTCCTAAAGAAGTCTCCCACTTTAAAGTCTTGCAATACCTTTATAAACAGTGTTTGGGAAATAAGAGTGAGCAAGGATGTCAAAGACGGTGATTTAATGAAAGAGGTAAAGGCTGGAGCCCACAATATTTCTAAGTGGAAAAGCTGGTAAATGGGGATCCCACAACCACAGCTACAGCTGATGTTTCAGTTGGCTGATACTGGAGAGGAATATCTCCTCAGGAGGCCCAGAGGAAATCAAATTGCCCCTCAAGCATTGATTTGTGATGTATGTGGAGAAAATGTTTCTCTGACACCCTCAGATGAATCTTGAACCAAGCAAAACGCAATGAATCATGACAGAAATGAACATTGAGAGCTCCATTTTGCAAAAAGATGAAGCATTTGGAGCACACAATCCATGTATGCCTCCACCCAAACTTACAGGCAGCTTTGGGAAGTCATTCGCCCCTCGAGCCTGCCAGCCATAGTACACCAGTGGCATCGGAGATTTCACACATACACTCTGAGCAGTTATTCCCTGCAACTATTTGCTGTACAATAGTTGTACCTCATCCACAATCTGCCAGACCGGCCATGAATTAACATCTCAATCCAGAGAGCCCTGCTTCAGCGGGATGTCTGCCCCCGGGTTATCCATGCACGATATGGCACCAGTCATTGTCTGCCCAAGGAGGAAATTTGCAAAATGTCTATGCGGGTTATGGCCTAGGACAGTGATGGTGAACCTATGACACATGTGTCAGAGGTGACACGTGAACTCATTTTTTTTGGTTGATTTTTTCTTTGTTAAATGGCATTTAAATATATAAAATAAATATCAAAAATATAAGTCTTTGTTTTACTATGGTTGCAAATATCAAAAAATTTCTATATGTGACACGGCACCAGAGTTAAGTTAGGGTTTTTCCAAATGCTGACACGCCAAGCTCAACAGGTTCGCCATCATTGGCCTAGGAGACCAGGCTGAGTATTTTCCTAATTGTTTAACATGAAGAAGTTGAGAGGAGAAAGTAATATTCTGAAACAGATTGTGGTGACTTCTGTTTGCGTGGAAGTGACAGATATGTGGTATTTACTGAGTTTGACATTTCAAAATAATTTTTTCAACAATAAAACTCTCAGATTTCCTAATAAAATATTTGGCAATTTGCTGGTGACCAGACACAAGGTAGATTTTTCAAGGCCTGATTCTTCCAGGTTGATTATTCGCGCTAACACTATTGAGCTGGATAATTGCACATTCCCATTTCACCTAGGTCCTAGGACTGTCTAGACCAGTGGTTCTCAACCTTGGCTGCACATTAGAATCACCTGGGAATCTTTTTAAAATCCTGATTTCTGGGCCTCATCCTCCGGAAATTCTGTTTCTTTGTTACTAATGTTGTGGCCCCACCCCATAACAAAGAAACAGAATTTCCAGAGGATGAGGCCCTGAAATCAGGATTTTAAAAAGATTCCCAGGTGATTCTAATGTGCAGCCAAGGTTGAGAACTACTGCTCTAGACAGTGTCAGCTGTTTCTCCTTCTACGCTAATATTCCCTCGCTGAGGACTAATTAAGGTCACCTAGAAGTTTTACTCAGCTGAGTCCTAGCCTCTAAATCAATTATAACTTACTCTCCCTTTTTCTAATGTTTGGATTATTTTACACTACTTTGCTTGTTTTCTTTATCCTCCTTCCTCCTCCCTCCTTTGGGTTGCTTACCTGCCAAAGCTCAAGCCTGTCTACCTTGGCTATTTTGCAGGGCATGGGAGGTTGGACCCACTCCTTAGGTGTGACCTGGGTGTTTGCCATAGATAATCCCTCACTCTTTCAAAAACTTTACTGCATACCCGTCATATGTTGGATACTGTGCTGGGTGCTATACGAGATGAAAATGTGACTAATAGAATGCTCTGCTCTTCTGGAAGTTGACCTTCTAAGGGAGAATTGAAACATAGGTCGGAATAATTGACCAAAGGCAGCCTGAGGTGAGTGCCACAAAGGTGGTACGTGCCAAATGGTACGGCTGTGCTAGGTGACCAAGAGGTCCTTTCTAATGGGAGTGACTAGGTTGGTAGAGTTCAAGACGTTATTACCATTTAAAATGGGCCTTGATAAAAGAAGAGGGTACCAACAGAGGGAGTTTATTTATACCATTCTGTGTTCCAGGAGGAACTTCAGAAATGGACATACAGTGCAATCAGATAAAGTAATGTTTAAATTAAGTGGGTGAGAAAATTGGGACAGAGGCATGATAAAGGTAGGAAAGAATATAGGAAGCTGGGAATGAGGTTGGTCCTTGAGATAAGATTAGGAAGATGACCAACTTAATTATCCAGACCCATCCTGTGGGTGGCAGATGGTGAGCTCTCTGACTGAAGTGACCATCAGAGGCCACAGCTCTGGGGAAGTTGCGAAGGCCGTTCACCTGTGCTCCTGTCCGACTCCCTAGGTCCTGGGATGGATCCGCAATGGGGAGTCGATGCTGAACGCCAGCCTGGTCAACGCCAGCTCCTTGTCTGAAGCGGAGCAGCTGCAGCGGGAGCACGAGCAGTTCCAGCTGGCCATCGAGGTAACACCCACATCTGGCTGCACCGCCCTCCCCTCCCTTCTGTTCTGTGGTTCAAGTGGGACGATTTCTCATGTGTGGGTGTCCCTTTATGTAACGAAGCCCTCCCTCTTCCTAGTAAATGGTCCAGGGAGCCTCCCTACGCTCCAGGAATTGATGGAGAAGCCAATGCAGGGTTTACACCCCCCTCCCGCCCCCCTCCAGGAGGCCTGGTTTTAGAACTCAAGTATTCACACTACAAACATGGATTTGCTTTCTTTCTAATTGGTACCTTTAACCTTCAAGCCCCCTGCTGGTGCGTTGAGTTTTTTATTCCTTGTGGACTATGCACCATGTGAGAAATGTAAAGGTCACACAGAATTGAGGATGAACAAGTGAAAGAGTCATTAGTAAGTTAGGATTCCGTGTTACATGTAAGGTTGATTCCGTTGTCAGATTCGGCCTTTTTACAAGAACAGCGATCACGGGAGCAGACAGCGCTGGATGGTTTGCTCCACGGAGAGTAGTTGTTCAGTGATGCTGCTTTAAAATAAAACTCCACTTATGATCATCTAATATAAGTCTGATCTCGCTTTAAATAATACCTTTAATGATCTTTTCTGCTAGAACATTATCCTTCCCAAAGAGACTTGAGCTGATTGCTTCAGCATGGTGTCAGGGAAAATGGTAGGAAATGAGACATGGGAATGATATTAAAATAAAATAAGCTCAATACCAATGGGAAAAGAGATAAAGAAGGAAAACGTCAAAGACATTCATTACTTATGGTTCAGCATAAATTTTGACCCACTTCTGAGTGTGTTGCAAATGCAAAGTGTTATCTTCTACAAAAAATTATTATTAAGAATTTTCTACTACAGTGATACAATTTTAACTGTTCATGCCAATAAGTATATGGTTAATACAGTAATCCAGTTGATTGCCACTCATTTTTAAACTAGTGGTTGATTGATTTCAACCATTTAATTTTCTAAAAACCATCTTATACGTGTAAAAATAGCATGAACGTGAATGGCGTGTTTCTATAAGATTTCTGATATATTCTCAGGAACAGCTGCTAGAACTAGGATACTGTTTGGGTTTTAAGATTGTAAAATATACTGTATATTACCCACACCGTATGGGCACAAATAATTTTCTAGGGAAGAACTAACCAGAAGAGAGAAGTTTTATTATCGCTAGCTGTCTCTGTGGCATTTTACTGGCATGCCCACACGTGAGAGGCTGGGAACTATTTGCCGTAAAGAAAAAGTCAGGACTGGGGCTACAGTCAAGAATCAGGCACCCAGTGGACAAGGCCCGGGGAGAGGAGCAGCGTGGAGAACGAAGGTTTGCCAGTCAGACCGGAGGAATGCCATCAGGCTGGGAGGGACGCTGGGCAGGAGCGAACGGCTCTTGGCCATACCTCCTCCTTGTTTATACTGCATGTGAAGGTTTACGTGCCTGGAAGGTAATTCAATTTTAAGTCCCTTAATCAGACGTTGGGAAAGTAAAACCGAATGTCATGACACACTTGAGCATCTCAGTGAGCTAGTGGAAAATAGTTGGTAAATGCATTTGCAACTCTCTCTAAATGACTAACTCTGACATGACTTGCATATGCATCATGTGTTAATTTGTGGTAGATGCCATTGCATCCTTACAGAATGAAGGCTCACTGAGCATTGATGTCTCTTAATTGCTTGGGTGCAACTTGGTCAGATGTTCTTGGAATTGATGTTGAGCTAGAGGCCCTTGTAGAGTTTGCCTATGGTTTCAGGAGGACATGGCAGAGCAGATAGGATTTCTGGAAGATCTTGGGAATGCAGGATAGGCAGGGTCTGTAGCATGGCTAGAATAATGATGAGAACAGAACCAGAATTTCAATGTACACTCCTCCTTCAGGTGGCCTTGTGCTTCTCTCTAAACATGTCCATTTACTAGTACAGCGGGTTCTGCATGGGGGGAATATGCCATGGATGATTTAAGCACTTTGAAAGCAGATCTAACTAGTCTGGTTTGGCTTAACCCATTCTGTTGATATTACTGGAAGCCTTTATAATGATTGCTGATAGGGAGCATAATTTGACTTCTTGGGCCCTCAGAAGGAACCCCGGATTCCAGGAAGGAAAATAAAATAGCTGTAGGTAGGGTGACCATGTAATTTATTGCTAAAATAGAGACATTTTTAAGAGGGAAGGAGGGAAATATTTATAACTAAGCCAGAAAACAGGCATATACAGAACTATCCTGGGCAAACCAGAATTTGCTCACCCTCGCCTGGGTGGCCTCATCAGTTTGAAGGTTTTGGTCCCATAAAAGGAGGTCAGAATTTTTACCTGAAGTGGCCTTGGTTTCGGGAACACGCCCCAGAGCCATTCAGAATGGAGAGTAGTAGACAGTGCATACAGAAGCATAGTTTTATCAGCAAACCTGGATTATTGTGTGGTAGTATCCAAGATGTGTGGCTGATGTGCCTTCAAGGACTGTGAACACCATAGAGAAAAACTTGATTTTAAATTCCATTTTTATTTGAAATCCTCTTACACATGTCAAGCTTAAGCATTATGGTAGACTGAGTTAAGTCATAGTGATCCAGTAGTTGTAACTGGTTAATAAATTCAGTTGATATGGTTCCATTTTCTTCCGTGTCCTGCTACTAAATATTAACATCTTTGATAACCCATGTCTTAAAGATATAGCAATCAATAGGATTAGATAAGAAGAAATAAAAGCAAAATAATTACTCAGACCTAGCAATGCAAAGGGTTGTCATATGTCATGTACATAAGAGTTTATCATTTTGGAAATTACAGGAGGAAAGGGTTCCCAGGACTATTAGATGATAATGAATTTTAGGAAAAACAAGAGGATTTATTACATAGCATAAATTACAGGAAAATTAAAGTTATTCCTCCTCTGTCAGAGAAAAAGACATAATAACAGGTTCATGATGACAATTATATGCTGGTTTCATATACTGAGGGGAGGCCAGATAATTACCATAATTGCTAAATGGTCACTTGGTGGGCCCTTCCTCTAAATGAGACACTGTAGATATAGATTCCATTCCGATTGCTCAAGACCTGATGTGATATAGTGGAAAGGACATAGGTTTGGGAATAGATCAGACCTGAACTTATTTCTGGTTTTATCACTTCCTTGGTTGTACATTTTTGGGAAAGTCATTTAACCAGCCTGAGCCTTAGTTTCTTACTCTGTGAAAAGGGAATAGTAATATTTACCTGGGTGGTGTCACGAGAACTAGGAAAGCACATGCGTAAGCACAGTGCCTAGCACAGAGTACACGCCTGGTTAAATGACAGCTATTCACGTGAGTTTTTAAATAGTCCTTGCCTGAGAGTTCCACAGAATAAGTAAGGAGAATCAGCCAAGGGTTGGAAAAGTGATATAGTTCAGAAAAGGATAGTTTTGGTGAGGCTCAAGCTGTCTGGAAAGGCCACTTTGAAGGAGGTCAGAGGAGTGTCAAAGGGCGACTGGATCATAGATGGGGAGGAAGACTGAAGGCAACAAAAACAAAAAAAAGAGTATGGTGTGTTTTCAAAGCGTGTTTGTAAGGAAATAGGTGATAATGGCATGGAAGTTGTTAGGACCACATTTTGAAGCTTTAAATGACATGGTCGCCCTAGCTCCTGGCCAGCAAACCGCAGCTCGCGAGCCACATGCGGCTCTTTGGCCCCTTGAGTGTGGCTCTTCCACAAAATACCACGTGTGGGCGCACACATACAGTGCTATTGAAACTTCATGGCCCATGCGCAGAAGTCGGCATTTTGTGGAAGAGCCACATTCAAGGGGCCAAAGAGCCGCATGTGGCTCGCGAGCCTAGCTTTACCGAGCCGCAGTTTGCTGACCACTGCCCTAGCTGGTTTGGCTCAGTGGATAAAGTGTCAGCCTGTGGACTGAAGGGTCCCGGGTTCAATTCCGGTCAAGGGCACATGGGTTGCAGGCTCGATCCACAGTAGGGGGTATACAGGAGGCAGGCAATCAATGATTCTCTCTCATCATTGATGTTTCTATCTCTATCTCCCTCTCCCTTCCTCTCTGAATTCAATTAAAAATAAATGACATGGACTAAAGTTTGGGCTTAATTTCCTAGCAATGAGGGAACTACTGAAGACTTTTGAATTGAAAGAAGGAGAGAGGTTTATAGCATAAAATTTGAGTTTTAGAGCTGAAAAGGACATCAGAAATCACTTAATCCAAGCACTTCCTACTACAAAACACGAATCTGTCAGCGATGTAAGGGATGGGTTAAACAGAGTAGACATGGAAGGCAAGACGACTAGGTGGGTGACCAGCACAGCAGTCAAGTTAGGAGGTGGTGAGAGCTGGACTGGGATTCGGGGTGAGGAACAGCAGACAAGGTGGTGATGAGATTGTGATGTTGGGTGGCAGAGAGGAGGACACCGTCCACAGAATTGGAAAGTGTCCTGGGAGGACTGTTTTAGAGGAAGAAGGAGTTTAGTTTAGATGTGGAACTCGAAGAGATGTCTGGGAGGAAGGTGGAGGCTCTGACAGGACAGTAAAAACATTCCCATTTATTGGTGAGGGGTCCTCCTCTCTCTAGGAAGATCTTTCACTCCTTCACTGAGAATGCATCTTTGTAGGCGACTAACTAACATGAGCCGACAGATAGATCCACTGAATCGGTGCTGCTGACCTGGGTGAGAGGTGTGGCAGGCAGCTTCCCCTCAGATCCAAAGACAAAGATAAGGGGTCAAGTGTTGAGGTGAGAGATGTAGGCTGGGGAGTCGTTTACAAAGAGGAGAAATGGAAATCAAGGAAAGAGATATAAGAGCTCTGCAGAAGTAAAAAAAAAAAAAAAAAAAAAAGGATGGGCCTTGGGGCACCTCCACATTTAGGAGACAGGAAAAGAAAATGCTGCCAATAAGTAAAACAGAGAAAGAAACCAGGGATTTATAGCGGGTCGTTTCAGCCCATTAGTTTACTTTTTCCAGCTGCATTCAGCAATTAGGAACCCAAGTGCGGATGTGGTCATCAGGCTTGAAGGCTGGGTCGGTGGCAAAGCAAGGGAATAAGGGCATCTAGGCTGCTAGAGGTGGTGCTGACAGAGCTAACACTGGGTACAGATTTCAGAGACAGGGAAGGGAAGCCAGGAGGTGGTTGATAGACTAGAAAAATGAATAGCGCTGTGTGGGTTGCTGTGTGGGATGAGGTGAAGGGGGAGTGGAGGTGAAAAGGAGGGAGGTTGTCCTCACACACAGGGAGTGCAGAAAGGATGTGCTCTTAGGGGCTGTCCTCGCACTGCTGCCCAAGAAGAAGGGCAGAACTAATTCCAGAGTCAGTTACCGGGCTTCTAGCTGATCATTTTCACTGCCAGCTGAGCCACACTTTCCTAAAATTGCAAAAGCCGAATTCCTACTGCGCCATTGGGTTGAAATCATCCCAGCAGTTGAGGCCACCCAGTCCTCCAGCCTGGCCTCCCCACCTCCTACAGTTACATGTAAACTCAGAGAATGCAAACCACATTGAGCCTGAAAAAGAACGTTTATGTTCTTCTACTATATATATTATCCTAAAGGCAAACGCACATAATGCAGTAATGTGAGGATTATGTGTGGAGCTGAATTGTCTACTGTACTGCTCAGTTCCCTTGGTGAGGTTGCTAGGGGATGGTGTGAGATGCTACTCTTCTGCTTTATTAATCTGCCAAATTTATTCCTTCTACTGCAATCCTTTTCAGCTGATGTTACTGTTTAACATGTTTGCATGTTGGCTCAGATTTCTGTTACATGGGGAATTTTTTGAGCTGTGTTTATTTGATCTGTAAAATGGGATGCATTATGATGAACAATTTTGTGATTAGATTTGAAAAGGAACTTTAACGTATGAGCCCATCAGAGAGCAGATTTATACACAACTGTTGTTTCTCTGCTTCAGACACTGAAATGTCTTTAAGACCCAGCGTGATGCAAGTAGAAGAGAAAGAAAGGAGCGGGGACAGGAGTTAGGGACCTGAGCAGTTAGTTAATGAAACTGTATGATTTTCTTTTTTAAAAATATGCTTTGAACAATGATGTAATTGTCATCGTGACAAAATGTTTGAATCAGTCATTTAAAGCTCTTTAACTTCTCTGCATCTTTCCACTCACGCCTCACTCCACCCCCTCCCATACCACGCCTGGGTCGTTCCCACGGACCTTTCTCTCCTCCCCTTGTGCCCAGTCCCTCTTTCATGCCACTTCCTTGCAGAAGACGCACCAGAGTGCCCTGCAGGTGCAGCAGAAAGCTGAGGCGCTGCTGCAGGCCGGCCACTACGATGCAGACGCCATCCGGGAATGTGCGGAGAAGGTGGCCCTCCACTGGCAGCAGCTCATGCTGAAGATGGAAGACCGGCTGAAACTGGTCAATGCCTCTGTGGCCTTTTACAAAACCTCTGAGCAGGTGAGGGAAAGGGCTGGGGGATGTGTGAGGCTGAGAGTGACAGAGGATTGTTTTCTGCTTCACACTGCCAATCTGCAGTACCTACCACAGCAAGAAGCCAGTCCTCTCAGTACTAACCTTTGAGAAGAGGAAAATGATTTGTGGCTTCCTTATAATGCTTTCCATTAGAGAAGTGGACCATGTGATTTGCTTCTATAAATTTCTCAGACTCCTTGGATCTAGCTGTTGAAATAGAAATGCTAGATTGGAGTGGAATATTAGTCAGCTATTGCCACAATAATGCTGTGTAACAAATCACCCCAAGATTCAGTGGTATAAAACAATAAGCATTCATTTCTTTTGCATAAGTATCTGGAGCTCAGCTGGTCTTGGCTGAGCTTGGTGGAGCTGGCTCTAAGCTGCAGACTGGGACTAGATCTGTTCCCATGTCTCTTATCCTCCTTGACCAGCAGCTACTTGGGACACATTTAGGGCAAAAGGCAAAAGTGCAAGAGCCCAAAGTCTTCTATGAAAGTGCCCTTCGAGTCTCTGCTTATGTCACATGCTCTAGCATCCTTTTGGCCAAAATAAGTCATGTGGCCAAGCCAACATCAATAACGCAGAGAAGTATGTACCTCCCATGGAAGTTGGGAAAGGACAATTTGCTGAACGTAATCTCATCTACCACAATCAGGCACTGTGCACTGCTTGAAAAACATAAAGTTCTGTTACTCACAGGGCTCCCAATCTAATGGGGGAAACAAGGCTCCCTGTCATTGAGAACTATGAGCCTACTGGCAGGATGGTGTCGCTGTGGGAGAAGAGGCAGGGTCATAAAGATGCAGACCCATTACCATTACATCTGTTCAGCAATATGCACAAGAGCTAAGAGGATTTTTAAATGATTTGGGTGCTGTTAGGGAATTCTTTATATGAAATAGAGGTTTCAAACAGAAGTAATTTTATTCCATGTAAAATACTTTCCCTCATTCCAAGTGCTCCCTAGGAGAAATAGATCAGAGAAACGTTCTCTTCTGGGTGGCCATGGGGAAGTGTCGCGGAGCAAAGGCAGCCTGTCTGTGAGAGGGCCCTGCAGCCAGTGTGTCGGTCTCAGTCCTGCCTTCTGTTGCTTCAGAGAGATGATGCCTTCGGAAGTGGGACCAGCAAAGACGATAAAGAGCTTCCCCAGTTGATCTATAAATTCAACATAGTCCCAATCAGATAGATCCCAGCAAGCATTTTGGTAAAAATTAGTATGCTGATTCTAAGATTTACATGGAAATGCAAAGAATCTAGAGTAGCCATAACAACTTTGAAAAGGAAGAGCAAAGTTGAAGGAGTTATACCAGCTGATTGTGAGACTTGCCCTAAAGCTGAATTGATCAAGCAGAATGGTGCTGGGTGTAAGGATAGACTCCATGGAACAGAATAGAGGTTCCAGGAGTAGACCCACAACTATATAATCAGTTAATTTTGGACAAAGAATTAATTTAATAAAGTCTTTTTTAAATTCTTTATTGTTTAAAGTATTACATGAGTCTCCTTTTCCTCCCCATTGACCTCTCCCCTGCTACCCCCACCCCAAGCACAAGACCTTACCGCCCCGCCACCCCCACACTGTCTGTCGATTGGTTTTGCTCATATGCATGCATACAAGTCCTTTGGTCTTAAACAGATGATTCTGGACAACTGAATATTCATATAAAATGAGGCTAATCCTTCTCTACTATCATACACAAATTTTAATTTGAGATGTATCAAGGTACTAAAGAGGTCAGAGCACTAGATTAAAAATCAGGAAATTTGACCCTGAACTAATATTGCTAAAGGTCACTTTTATCTCTCAAGAAATCTGTTTCTCTGCCTATTAAACTAAAGGATTTATGCTTTATAATCTTTTCAGCTTTCAAACTGATTGGTTTTAAGTCCAATACTATCACAGGACAGGTGTTAAGTACTCTTTTTTCTTAGAGTTTTTGAACATATAATGTTTTCTTTCAAGGTGTGAGCATCCTGAATGTGTTCCTGCCTTGCCAAGGCAGAGATGGGTGGTGCTGGGGGAGCCAGCTCGAGTTCAGCGACAGGTCTCTCAGGCCTGGGAAGCCTGTTGGCCATGAGGGTGTCCTGCCTGGGACATCTTTCAGCTCAGTTCATAACTCAGTACATGTCCCATCCATCGCCATACTCTTCATCAGAAAGGATGACTTTCTCAGTCCGAGGAGGCCAAGGACAATAGCTGTTCACGCCTGCTGCCAAAGCCAAGCAAGCGATCCAAGCCCGCTGAAGGGAAGCACAGGAGCATGAGCTCTATTTCCCACATCCTTCCCTAGGCCCTGACACTCGGCTGCCTAGTCTCCTAGCTTTCCCTCCAAGCTCCATTCGAAACTTTTGTTCTTTTGTTCATTTATAAGGTGCTTAATAGCATGGCCTCTCGGCACTTTCCGAACTGAGAAAGCTCCTTAACTTTCTTTGAGATTAACCCAAATTTGTATCCCTCTGAAGGAAATATACATTTTGTAATAGAAGGCCTAGAGATGTCATTGCCATATGGTAGTATCTTGAGACATTTTTGCTGGGATATTTTTCCATGGGGAGGGGAAAGATAGCACTCATTTATGGCCCATAAGACACAATATACAGGCAACTTCCTTCTTTACCTCTGCTTGAAACTACTTCCTGCAAGGCAATTTCAGATGGTTGGGCACCCCAAGTATCTCCCCAAAACCTCATTTTCCTGTACTACCTAAGTCACAGAGTTATCGTAAAGTTATAGCAATATAATATATATTTTTTTAATCCTCAAAAAGTACTAATCTGTCTTAGCCATTGATTATCAGAAGATGATTCCAAAATCCACATCTCAGTCTTGGACTGTCTCCCAAGGTCCAGACGCTGGGTCTCCCGGCCTCCTGGACTTCCCTCAGATCCCCAGGGACACTGCATGCCCTCAGTCTACAAACTAAACTTAAAATAAAAAAGTGTGCATCTGTGCAGCATTCTCTCTGTTAAAGGTCCTCCCAGAAGACTTCCCAACTGATTAATTTACTGAGTCTTTTTCCCCCCCGTGATTCATTAGGTCTGTAGTGTCCTGGAGAGCTTAGAGCAGGAATACCGGAGAGATGAGGACTGGTGTGGTGGACGAGATAAACTGGGGCCAGCAGCAGAGATCGACCACGTCATTCCACTCATCAGTAAACATCTGGAACAAAAGGAGGCCTTTCTTAAGGTCAGAGCACTTTGCCATCCAAGGTCTGGGACTTTAGGCTGTTTTTCTGTCTACCTTCTCTCTCTCCCTTTCTCCCCCTGTCCCTCCTCCTCCTCTTCCTCCTTCTCTCTCTCTTTCTGTCCCACCCCCACTCTCACAAACACTGCTTCACAAAGGCTTTCCATACCCCTGTTTTTTCTAGCTTCATATCTGAAAGGGAGTAGTTGTAGAGAAGATATTGGCTGGTTAACTTGAAAAGTCACACTTCAAATATTTCTTTTTTCTCTCAGTACTTTTTGTATAATTAGGCAGTTAGGATATACCATTACTGCTGGTGCCAGGTTCAGATATCCTGAAATCCCATTGATGTTAATTGAGAAAAATACATACTTTCCCTCAGTTATGTTTGGTTTATTAAAATATTCTTAATTGAAATATATAAACCTAGATATAATACAATACTAAAATACAAATAATAATATAAACAATAGTACAATGTAAATCCTTTGTAAATGGATAATACAATATTTAAGGCAAGAATTAAAAGAAATATAGACATCTTATTTATTTATCAATTTAAAAGTTATCAATTATTGATCACTGTAACACTGCGTAGTCTGCTGCATGAAGAGAGAAATGCCTCGTTTTGTTCCTTTGTTCCTAATAGAGCTCTAGCTTCCCAGGGAGAAGCCCCGGCTGCTCTGAACAGGCTCTCAGTGTGTGGGAGTCCTCCCAGCCCTCTTCCCTCCGGCCTTGATCTTCTCTCCGACGGGTCTTCTGCGCTAAAACTTATCTCAAGGCTCCATTTACTCTCAGATGTCTTGCTTTCATGTTCTGCTTCCTCTCAGGTTTCTGAAAGTACAAAAGAGAATTTTTATACCCTGACATATTGCCACTGATTTTCTACAATTCTGTAATTAACTGTCTTTTTTTTATTATTAGGAATTGTCTCTACTGGACCACCTCTTTGAGTTTTATTTTTATTCTTTTTTTAAAGATGGCCTCCCCTGTCCTTCCTCCCATCTAGTTGGTGTCTGCACCTGCATTCAATCAGAACCCCTAGTGATCAGCTCTTACTAATGAGATTCAGTAGAAATTCTTCTATACGGGGCTTAAGATGATTTTAAAAGTCTTCCCTGTTATAAAACACAATTTAAAACAGAACAACTTAAGTAGAGCATATGAAAAATTTTAAATAGAGATATAAAGATAGTTCTTCATAAAATTAAGTGCTTCTTTTTAAGAAGGAAAAACAAACAAACAAAAAAAACCCTGTTCTGGTTAGATGTTTTCGACGTGCCTACACCTGTAGTTGAGAAAGTGCCTGCTGCTGTGGGAAGTGTGTGCCCAGTGGACGGGACATGGAGCTCTCCATCTGTGTGCATTAGTTGACTATTTAGGATTTCTTGGCTTTGGACCACCCTCCAGCTGTTAAATTCATGGGCCTCTGAACGGACCCACCAGCAGTCTTTGACCAGAGCTCTCAGAAGCCATTGTTGCTAATGCAGCATTTAGAATATTTTATATTATATAATTTGTAGAATAAGATGCTAACTGTACAAAGGTTTTTAAATTGTACAGTTTTATCTAAAGATCATTTAATTCTGAAAACTGTGGATTAAAAATTAGTGGACTACCATGTATTACTTCTACAACCAGGAAAAAAAACACTGCTTTTTAAAAAAAATTCAGAACATCTGTGGTCTTGAGAGAAACTAGAAACACTGCCAGTGGACCTAGAGTCTAGCCTTGACTTGCTTCATGACTCCTGCCCTTTTAGGGCCTCAGTCTCTTCTGGGGGCACAACAACCTGGGACACACCTGTCCTCTCTGCCACCCCTGTTAGTGTGGGTCTTACATGGCCAGTGTAACAGCTCTTATTCCTTTAGGTAGAGAAATTTATTAGTGTTACTGAGGTGAGGGTTGATTTGAGGGACAAATAAAATTTTAAATGTGGGTAATACCCATTTAGACTTGAGATGCATGGTCAATAGGTTTGTTTCCCAAATTTGCTTTCTCAAGTCTAAATTCAACTAATGTTAAAGTGACTTTCACCAGTGCTCATGTACGAGGCCTTCTGGGGGCAGAGGAAAACGAGGTTGAAAGGGAAAGTAATACTGACTCAACTTACACTCGGCCGGGGATGGCTGATTCCTGACTTTTATCTGGGGTGGAGAGGGGAGGGGCGTGGGAAGCAGTTCTTTACTCCATGAGAGGGGGTTCTCTCTCACTGGGACTGGGGTGTCCATGAGCCGGAGTGGCTGCAGGGCTCTGCTCGCCCCTAGCTTCACAAGCCCTTCTCCGGGGTCTTGGGTCCCACGCACCTGCTGGACCAGGACTTATGTGCGGGCGCTTCCCACTTGTCTCCCTCAGGCCTGCACCCTGGCACGGCGGAATGCGGAGGTGTTTCTCAAGTACATCCACAGGAACAACGTCAGCATGCCCAGTGCCGCCAGCCACACTCGGGGACCCGAGCAGCAAGTGAAAGGTCAGTGTGACACCTGCCAGCCACCAGCCACCTCAGCAGCACGGACCAGAGGCTGTGCCCTTGGTCTTCATGCAACCTCAGATTTCCTGGGTTTTCTCCTTGGATAAGAAAAAGTTAGATGTGGGATGGCATGGACTGTGATGATTCTTGGGGAACGTGTTAAACAGGCATCAAGATTTAGAATGGAAAAACCATGATACACTTTCACCAAAGCTTTTTCATTTATTTATCTTAAAGGCTAGAGCATCTCTATCTAATAGAATTTTCTGAAATAACAAAAATGGCCTGTACCTGTGCTGCCCAGTCTAGAAGCCACACATCGCATATGGCTGTGGGGCGCTTACAATGTGCCTAGTGCAACTGAGGAACTGAATTTTTACTTCTGTTGAATATTAATCAACTGAAATATAAGTAGCCGCCTGTGGCTAGCATATCGAGCAGCGCAAGGCTAGGGTATCTTGCAGCCTGGGAGTGAGACAAGTTCTAATCCCGGCTTCATTGCTGAAGCTTTTAAAACTCCAGTTTCCTTCTTTAAAATGTGGTCCCAGAACAGGAGCATCAACATCACTTGGGAGCTGTAGGAGCTGACACGGAATCTCAGGCCCCACCTGGATCGAGCGAGGCAACCTGAATTCTAGCAAGAGCTCCCCATCCCACCCCAGCCAGGTGATTGGTGTGCACATGGAATTTAGAGAAGTACTGGTCTAGATAATCCTTAACATCTCTCTGAATTTGTAACATTTATAATTGTATGAAAAAATCAGTAACCTTTAAAAACTAGCTATTCACTGACCACATTAAGCTTAAATTATCATTGATGAAATTGCCTATTCTGGACCAGATAGAAATTTGCCTTTAAGTAGGTATAGAATTTAACAAATGTTGTCTTGATATAGCAGGGAAATACAACCCTTGAGACTGCGACTAGGGAATGAACTAAAATTGACCTGGAGTGAGGGAGCGGGCAGCTTGGAGACTACGGAGTTGCCAGGGGAGAGAGGCTGATCTGCTCTATGAAGAGCCCTTCTCAGAGAGCTCAGAGGCGAGGAAATCAGAGGCCAATGGGGAGAATTAATTTTAGGAATCAAAGTCCTCTACGGAGAAGAGGAGAGCGGGTTCCTTTTCCAGGTGTGCTACCATTTGTGATGGAGCAGCCCTGCGGGTGGCTGGCGTGATGTCACCCTCCCCTTCCTGCACAGTGCAGAGTGGATGTTCAGATTTCCAAATGCAGGTGGCAGCTGGGGGAGACCTGCTGAGCGCAGACACTCCCTCTGTGCCTCGGTGCTGAGAGTGGCAGGCACCCAGAGAGAACCAGGTCACTGCAACTTTGTGGGGGTGAGGGCCACTTGTTGCCCACAGGAAAGCCTTTAAGAAAGGGCTAAAATGAGTCCTGAAACCCTCCAGGGTTTTTGCCTGATCTGGGTTGTTTCTCACTCACTGGCCAATTGAAGCTTCCGGCCGAGCGGGGACTACACTCACCCCTGCATCTGTTTCCATTCCACGGGCTGCCTGCACCCAAAGCAGTGCCACTTAAGGTTTTGTGCAGGAGCAGTTATTGCTGCATAACAATTCGGTGGTACACAGTTGTGGGCATCGACTGCTCAGGTGACTGCATGTTGGCTGGGGTCAGCTATCTTGGCTGGGCTCGGTGGGGCAGTCCTGCTTGAGCTGCAAGTGTGGCTGGTGCGGCTCCTTCCCTGCAGGTCAGGTGCTGGCTGCTCCACGTGTGTTAATTCTGGGACCTCGGGGGAGGGGCAGCAGTTACCCAGGAGCACTTCTTATGGTGTCGATGGCAGAGAGGAGAGGCAGGGTCAGTGCACAGCACATTTCCAGCCCCTGCTGTGTGGTATCTTAACAACCCATTTGCCAAAGCAAGCCACATGGCTGACCCTGAGGTCGGGGTGAGAAAATACACATTGTCTCTTCGGGGAGAAAGTTACATGATAGGTATAGATAAGGGGAGAAGGGCCTATGAAGGCTCTCAGCCTAAGGGAGGAGGGACAGATTCTGTCCTTAGAAGACCAGACTTCCAGGGAGCATTCAAAGTTCACAAAACCAGCAGAAGCCTTGGAGTCTGAGCCCTGCGACTTGGGTCGGGTCCTTTGCAGAGCACAGTGACGTGTGCTGGGCAGCCCCAGGAGCCTGGAGACCAGGTGGCTAAGCACTCAGGGTCTGAAGTAAATAGCTCCACCCTTTCCATCTGCATGACCCTGGGTGTCACCTACACTCTCTGAACCTCAGGTTCTTCATCATAGAATGGAGATGCAGCCATCCTAAGGGAGCTCCTGCATCATGAGGTACCGTGAAAATACAGTGAGGGCTTAATAAACATTAATTTTTCTAAGTAGTCCTATTGTATATTTTATTGGCATCTAATATAGTTAGCAGCAAGCAGGAGGCAGACAAAATGCAAAATAAATTTGATTGCTTCAAGCATTGGACATAATATTAAACACTTAGGAAGTCTATCCAGGTAGCCAGTTGCCCCTGAAACAACAGAGCAGGCTGGGAAATGACGTGGACAAACACCTTCCCGGCCCTCTGTGGTGCTGGACGCCTTGTTCACATCCCCACGCTGAACATCGTTAGAGGTAACATGAGACCGCTCTCAGCGTTTCTCATGATGGAATCCAAAACGACGTGGAAGTTTGGTCCTAGAGGTATGATTCCATGTGGACATGGTTCCCACATGGCTTCCCTTTATGGTTATTTAGAAGTTTTAGAGTTGAGGCTCTGCTGTTCACGTGCTGTGTGCCCGGCTCATGTGCAGGGCAGGGGTGTGGCCCATGCCTCAGGTTAGCCATACAGTGCCATCAGCCCTGAGCCACAGCTCCCGCTCCCCCAGCCTAGAACAGCTGGGATTCTGTCAAGTCCATTCACTCGTGTAGGGTCCATGAATTAGCTGTTACTTAGGGACTGACACTTCCTACCGTCTCTTACCATCAAGGACCAGCCTTGGTGTCAGAGAATCAGGGCCACTTTCAGGTCACCCTCAGGGCATACCCTTCCCTCATTAGTTGAGGAACCTCATCAACAGGCTCTCACCCCAACCCCCCCACCCCCCCTGGGAAATCCTCTCTGGACCATGCTTTTGCTCCCTTGCTTCTGATGCCTGGATTGGTTCTGTGGGGAGGCTTGAAGGTCACAGTATCTGGCACTTGGGATGTAGGGGAGAAGCAGCCAGTCAGAGTTGTCAGGGCCTCCCCGTGACCGGCGCAATCTCCTCTCTGCAGCCATCCTGAGCGAGCTCCTGCAGAGGGAGAACCGCGTCCTGCACTTCTGGACCTTGAAGAAGCGGCGGTTAGACCAGTGCCAGCAATACGTGGTGTTTGAGCGCAGTGCCAAGCAGGTATGTGCAGAGCGTTCCCCGGCTTTACCTCAGCTCCAGACACTACACAGAGGCCAAGACGACCAGTCCTGGGACGTCCAGGAAAGGGCAGTGGGAGGCGGGGATGAGAAGAGGAAAGGGAAAGGCTGAGTTTGGTACCAGGAGTGGGGAGGAGGTTCTGGAGGAAGATCACCCCTAATTCACGATGATACTGGGTCAGTCTAATGGACAAGGGACTCTCTTTGTCAGGGGGATGTTCCAAGTCTACCAGGGGAGGGCTCATTCATAAATCAGCTTTCAAGCTGTGTACTGCTTGAATCATGTCAGAATTTCCTGGGTCCATCACACTGTCCCAGACCACAGCCTTCACGGTAGCATGGCATGTTTTCCTACTGACCCCTGGCTTTTGGGGGACTGGATGGGTTGTTTCCTCCCACAGGCGCTGGACTGGATCCAAGAAACAGGTGAATTTTACCTCTCAACGCATACCTCCACTGGAGAGACCCCAGAGGAGACTCAGGAACTGCTGAAGGAATATGGGGAATTCAGGGGGCCTGCCAAGGTAGGAAGCACCCTGGGCCTTCCCCAAATCTACTCAGCACTTCCCAGTCTGACCAATTTCACGTGGCGGAAGGGAGAGCAGCCTCTTGCACAGAATGCTTCGCCACAGTGGCAAGGGGGGAAGCATCGGTAGGATTATGTCCTTTGAAACCCGAATACCCAAAGAATGGCGGCTGCTGGATAGAGCGTCTGTATGCAGAAGTCAGCTGCTGTGCCCGGGGCTTCCAAGTATCCCCTCTTCATGCCCCAGGTTCTGGGCTCTGCTGTGTTCTTTCAGGCCACATAAGGCAAAGGGATGTATTCCTGTGAAATGCACATTGCATGTGTGAGCATCACTCCTAGCCACATGTTCTTGACACTTGAATGGCTTGGAAAATCCACCTTATGGGAAGGGCCAATGGCTATGGGTGAATTTATTACCTGTTTACACCCATGTTGTTCAAGGGTCAACTGTACTTCTGTCTGGCCTCAGACCTGAAAATGAGCCAGACTGGAGTCTCTGGGGACCCAATCCTGCACTAGTGCACATACCACACCCCTCACACTCCCATTTACAATGAGGCAGGGAATGTACAATAGGAGGAAATCTCATTTTCATCTGTTTTCACAGCCAGGATTTGATCTGAGAACCCTTGGGTTTGAATGAAAACTGATTTGAGTTCCCTCCTTGTAGCCTCCTATCCCTCACTCTGGGCTCCCTGCCCTGTGAACTTTTCTGGGCATCACTCCCACACACGGCAGATGCTCTTCCCAGGGTGAGAGCTGATTTTGTGGGAGTCAAGGGGGATATATGGAGGCCCATCCTACCCAGAGATCCCTCTGACACGCGGCGAATGTTCCTCTAGTTAGGCCCTTAGTCTCATTCCTGAGCTGACATTTCAGAAGTGGCCACCCACTTTCTGAGTCCTCCCCTTTTCAGCCAATGGGAAAGCTGTCAGTTCAGGTAAGAGACTTATTTCAATACCAGCTAGAACAAGCAGCACTAGGGAGGTGGCAGGCGCACAGTACCCTTTTCAAATCCAAATGAACAAGGCTTTGGAATGACCCACTTTGCATCTGTCTGCCCCTCTCCAAACAGTGTCAGTAATGAACTGTTAACAAGCCAGACAGTATTAGCTCCCCTGGTTCCTACTCGTGTAGGATAGGTCGCAGCAGTACACGGGATGGATCGCAGAACGTCCGAGGATCAGAATCTGTGCGTAACCGAAGTGCAATTGCAGAGAAGCATTTAGTCAATTTAATCCATCTTCCTTCACCTCTTTCCCCTCTTTTCTGCTCACATTGTTACTTGGGTTTCATGCTTTGGGCATTCATCAGTTGATAGATATTTGGGTTGTTTACACTTTTGGGCTACTATGAATAATACTGCTGGGAACATTTGTGTACAAGATTTGGTGTGAACATGTGTTTTCAGATCTCATAGGCATATACCTGGGAGTGGAATGACTAGGTCATAGGGTGACTCTCTGCTTAACTTTTTATTTTTTGGGGGGGGAAGTATTTATTTATTTACTTTTATGCTTAACTTTTTAAACTGGAAATTTCATCTCTGAAAGTAAAAGAAGCTATGAGATAAACTGGACTTCATTCTTATTAACAAAAGAGAATAAAGAGATAAGGAAAATTACAGGAGTCTTAGCAGAACTAAATTATGTGTTGAAATTCAGATTGTTAGGAAAGGGAACACTGGGCATGTCAGACAGGCACTTAGAATGAGAAAGATGGAATCAAAACTATTCAGAGAAAAGATGGGCATAATTCTGTTTCTGAGACTACAAAGAGAAATAAATATTGCTCGCGAGTGAATATTTTTGAAAGGTTTAGTTGTTTGTATTTAATGACATGCTCTCCTCTATGAAATGAATATGAAGATATAGCTCAAGAGAACTGTTTACCTACACAGGGAGCTCAATAGTTTCTTATCAACAAAATAATGTATCAATCAATCAATAAAAATAATATTGACAATGAAAGGCAAATTGGTAGATTATACTGAAATTATAAGAAAAATACCAAAAAGACTAAATCTTAAAGATTTATGAAATGTGCTAAAGACACAAAAAGGGCTTTTGACATACTGTATTCAGTATAAGGCTCACTGATTGGGGGACGATGGTCAAAGGAAGCAAGAAAGGAAAAGAAAGAAAAAGAAAGAAAGAGAAGAAGAAAAGAACTGTCTTTCCTTTATTTACCTGTTTTTTTAGTAGATAACATATTATTCAAAATGGAAATGGCAGAACATACATTAGGGGACATAGCAAGCCCAATATAAGTGAGATGTCAGTTCCAAATTTCTGGGCCCAAATGAATTATATTCCCCCAAAGGTTCCTTTTTGTCCACAAGATCATGTAGGTACTTCTGAACCTAACATTCAAGAACCTCTGCAGCCTGATCCTCACTGTACCAGTCCATATGAGTTACTCTCTCTTGGTGGCAAGATCTGATTTTCAAACTGGGTCACATTATGAGATAGAAACTATGTCGCTGGACCTCCAGGAGCCCAGAAAATGCTGACTGACTCCACCTTATGAGAAAAACAAGAAACATGGCCTAGTCTCACCTGTGGAGATGAAAGCTGAAATGTCACCCGAGACTGAGTCAGTTCCGGCAGCCACACTATCTGGTCATCTCATCTCAGGACATCGGGATATATCGCCACCATTCAGCTTCCCTTCCTTTCTCCTCTCTGCTGTCTGCATTTTCATTCTACTCTGCAGCTACCTACCCAGTCCCCTGCCTCTGCACTTCACACTCCCAGAGAAACCGCCTCCATTGACCCAGAATATTGCCACTGTCCCCGTGTAGACAGAGCTTTTAGGACAAGACAGATCAGAAGTAACTCACTGCATATTGATGGGCTGCCCTTGCGGGGCAAGTTATAACCTCTGACCTCATGCTGTGGCCAGGCATATGGCAGGTTGCACTAGAGTCACCCATGTATAAGAAATCATTTCAGACTACTCTCAGTTATCTGCTTCATGGGCCAAATTTATCATCTAATTCTTCTTAATATACACCCTCAGTCTTACTGCTCTGGCTTTACACACCTCTAAACACAAGACTTAGTCATTTGCTCATTCATTCATTCAACATTTATGCAACGCCTACTATTTTCTAGACGTTGGAGATGAGTGAATAACATACAGCAGTTATCTTTTAGGAGTTTGTGGACTAATGAAGGAGACATATACATGATTCAGTGTGACACATGCTGAAGTAGGGGCATATATGTGCTGCTGGGGGAACCTTTGGAAGGGCATCACCTGCTCAGACTCTGTGCACACACACACACACACACACACACACACACACACACACACACAAAAGGGCTATTGGGTTAAAAGCAGGGAGAAGTAGTAGCCACTCATCACAGCAGGGGGGTGTGGGAATGTGAGGTTGGACTTGTTGCAGGTGAGGGGCCATGGAGAGGGTAGAGACAGTCACAGGTGAGGTGAGGTCCCGTGGAGGGAGGGTTTGTCAATACTGCTCATTTTATTGTCCATTATTTGCTCTCCCAGATTCCACACATCCCTGGAATACCTTTGGTCACAAGTCTTTCTTTTTGTTGACTCTGAATCACAGTTTTGATGTTTCAGGATAAAGTTTCCCCTAGTAGGGCTGCTGCCACCAGCTTTCTATAAAACCCCATCTCATGCTGATGTCTACTGACCAAGAGCAGAGAATAAATATGTATTTCCTGAACTTTACACAAAGGCGGATTTCTTGATTATAGTTGTACAAAGTAATCTCTGTTTTAAGTAAATTGTTTTCAGGGGGTTGCAGGGCATCCTAAATGCAATAAGGTGGAAGTCCTTAGGATACCAGGTATCTTTTCTTACCCCATTCCCAGTGCTGCTATTCTTAGCCTGTCCATGGCTAAGGAGCTGCTTCTCCTCTCCTCATACCCACTTTCTTTCCTTCACACCAAAGCTCTCCTGGCTTCATGTCTCCCAGTCCTGGGTGCAGCCCACTGTCCCTGAGGCAAGAGAGGCCCAGATGTGCTGAGTGAGCTGCTGGCAGGCCAAGTCCTCCCTGCCAGCCTCTTAGGCACTTCTTGGGAGGGTCGGTGACCTGGGAGGGGCTGTGATGAGCCTGGAAAGGCAGGGGAGGGCGACTTAGGCTCCTCTGTCTTATCTGCTCTTCCCCCAGCGATTTTCTGCCTATCTCCCTCAGTTATCTAGATTGCAGCATGACCCGAACCTTGGGCCTACTGCCCTCCCGTCCAGAAGATCATTGTACTTCTCAGAGTATTATTTAAATATTGTTTCCTTTCCTTTAAAATCTGCTAGGCTTCCCTGATCAATTTTAGAGTTTCAAAACTCAGGTACAAGATAAAAGATGAGCAAGTGTTTACTTATTGAACATCCCTTTCATTTCTATGTCTTACCCGGCAAGAAGGCCCCGTCTGAGATCTTTTCTGCCCATGCCAGCCCACTGTTGCTGTTTTTCCTGGTTTAAAATTCCTGCACTGTAACTATACATACTTCTTGTTTTGACATTCAATTACATGATGCCCTGAGTCATGTAACTACTTTCTGGGAAAATCTTGTCCCCTCGAGAGATATAGACTGTTTCGGGGAAATGAGCTTCTTTTTTCTTCTTTTGTTTAACCCCCTGGACTCCCCCCACAGCCCTCTGCACAGTAGTGTAGACAGAATTGGTGCTGAGCAAACACTTGCTAGAAATGAAGTTAACACAATACACATCAGAGCTCCACCTTCCTCAGCCCTGTAAGGGATTCCAGCTTCATTAATGCTTTCCTCTCTTCCTCTGTGGAAACTGGAGACAGAGCCTGGTGGTGAGAGGGACGGTGTTTACTGTTTAATCTGCTGCTTGGATTTCTTTAGATCCTGGCATGTGCTCCCTCCCCTGGCGCTTAGAAAGCCCACTTCAGGCCAGTACAGTGAAGGGGAGGACTAGCGACTGTGGGGCAGCGGCACACAGGCTGTGTCACTCACAGGCGGTAGGAACTTGGAAAGCCCTGAGCCTCTCAGCCTCAGTGTTTTCATTTCCATCTATTGCTTCAAAGAGTCTTGCACTTCCTCCCTCCACCTACCTCCCAGGGAGTCTCAGATGTGGCATTAGCATCCCCTGTAAACTGATAAAGCCCTATATTAATCGAAGAGATTCTTACATCAATAATTACAATGACTATCACTAAGGTTTACTGAGTTCCTGCTGTGAGCACTGTTTCGGGCACTGTTCTATGTTCTGCATCGCCAACTATGTCATGCTCACAGCAACCTCACAATGTTATGATTCCCATTTTGCAGATGAAGGAGCTGAGGCACAGAGGGTTTAAGTAATTTGTTCAAGACCCCCCAGCTAACCAGTGCCAAAGCTGAGGTGTAAACCCAGGCAGTCTGTCCGTGAGGTGTCTGTGGCTTCCGCATGGGGGGATGGATCTTACTGAGCCACCCAGCCATTGGCCTCTAGCCTCTCATGATTAGTGGCTGCTGTAAAGAAGAAAAAAGCGGGTAGGGTGAGGGCCATGGGAGTCCATGTCATCTGGTAACTTAAACCCTTCTTTGGGGCAGCAAACGAAGGAGAAGGTGAAGCTTCTGATCCAGCTGGCCGACAGCTTTGTGGAGAAGGGCCATATCCATGCCACAGAGATCAGGAAGTGGGTGACCACGGTGGACAAGCACTACAGAGACTTCTCCCTGCGGATGGGAAAGTACCAGTACTCCCTGGAGAAAGCCTTGGGTGTCAACACAGAGGTAGGTGTGGGCTGCCCAGCTGGGACGCCTCCTTTCCCATCTCCCTCAGCGCGACTGCTGCCATTTGCCATGGAAGGAAGCAGGTTTCCAGAGCCGCCTCTCTGAGCCGCGGACCCCTTCAGCACTTGCCTGGTGTGGTTTCCCTTTGGGGGGATGGATCTTACTGAGCCATCCAGCCATTGGCCTCTAGCCTCTCATAATTAGTACTATATATATTGCAAAATTGGCTGGCTGGGGTTGGGGCCTGTGGCTACAGAACAGAGTTTTTCTGTGTGTAGAGTTTACTTTTGACTTTGAGGACTACCATCTTCTACCCAATTACGTTAATCAGCAAATGACTAGAGTCCCCAGTATGTACAATAGTGCTCTTTCAAGAATAAGGGGTGTAGTTTGTGCAAAGGCCATTTGACATTTCAACTGAAAGGAGATCCTATCTGCTATGAAGCAAGGGAAGACTGACTTTTAATCTCTTCTTCATCATAGGGGTCAGTGACCTGGGAGTTAAGAACTACACACAGGCTGGCAGTTCAGTCCTAGGATTTCTAATTCTTAAATCTTTATTTATTTATTTTTTGTTAATACTCACCTGAGGATATTTTTCCTTTATTTTTTTTTTTGTTTGTTTGTTTGTTTGTTTTTTAGGGAGAGTGAAAGAGAGAGGGAAAGACAGAGAGAAACATTGATGTGAGAAAAACACATCGATTGGTTGCCTCCTGCACAAGCTCTGACTAGGTCCCGGGCCGGGGAGGAGCCTGCTACCAAATATGTGCCCTTGACCAGAATTGAACCTGGGACCCTTTGGTCCACAGGCCAATGCTCTATCCACTGAGCCTAACCGGCTAGGGCTAATTCTTAAATCTTTAAATGGGCTCGTGCTCTGAAGCAGAGCAGACTAGAGAGTAAAGTGGTCAGATCACTAAAATTGGGAGAATTAATGTCTAACCTGTGAGATTTTTTTCCTAGAAGTTTCCGTTCTATATAAATACCAAACATTGGATGAAATAAGCAGGGAGAGGCAATTAGAAAAATCAGTAATTGTTTTCTGTTTCAAAGGGAAGTTGCTTGTTTAAATAAAAATATTTGCTTTTATTATTTTCCCTTGACAAATGAAAGTTTTCTTATGTCTTTATGTGTTTCTGCTTCACATACATTATAATGTATAGTAATCAATCATGGACTCATTTTGTGTGTGTGTTTAGATTTAAACAGGACCAAAGTCCCAAGAGAAATATGACACTAATTATCAAATATATTCATTGTTTTTTTCTTGCTGTGGACATTAGCGCTGAACATTTGACCTGAACATTTCATATCTTTCTTATTTGAAAAAAATGACCACATGAAGAAGAGTGCTTGTGGGTGACAATTTGTGGGATTCCTGCTCTCCTCATCCTCCATTATCTCTCTCTCTGTTTTTCACCTCTACCACCCTCCACAGCCCTGTTTAGTTGCTTTCCCAAAGCATCTCCGAGGTGACCTCTGTGCTCTCTCTGTGCAGGATAACAAGGACCTGGAGCTGGACATCATCCCAGCGAGCCTTTCAGATCGTGAGGTCAAGCTGCGGGATGCCAACCACGAAGTCAATGAAGAGAAGCGGAAGTCTGCCCGGAAGAAAGAGTATGTTTGGGGGGAGCTTTCACCCAACAACAGGCTCCTCGTGACTGTGCTTGGCTTTCACCGTCACCTGTCCCTTTGGACAGCTCCGTGTATCCTCATGACCACCTGCAGAGGTTGGAATGGACATACATGATGCTTCCACTCATATGTCATGCTAACCAAGAACTACAGGGCATTGGCTAGTGGAGACAGTGGATCATGTCCACCTCACAAAGCATTGCCTGATGACTCTGCTCTTTATTTTGGTCTTGCACAGCTACATATATCCAGAGGTCTTTCAAGGGCTTTGTGAAGACTATTTTGACAGATTCCTTTTGGGTAATGCTGGGAAAAAATAGTGTTTCCCAAGATTAAGAAGCCTTAGGTAGTTGATTTATAAAAATGAAGTAGGACCACAGGTCCCTTGGAACTGAAGACACTAAAGCGAAGTCAGAGCTTGAGTTTCATCTGGGGAATGTTTTAGTTTGTCTGGGCTGCTGTACCAAAGTATGACAAATTGGGTGCTTTAAACAATATAAATATATTGTCTCACAGTTCTGGAGGCTAGGGAAGGCTCTGTTCCAGGCATATTTCCTGGCCTTGTAGACCACCTGCAGAGGTTGGTATGGACATACATGATGTTCACATGGTGTTCTCCCTGAATATATGCATGTGTCCAGATTTCCCCATTTTTTAAGGACACCAGTCACTTTGGAATAGGGGCCCACCCTATTCCATTATTAACCTCATCTTAACTAATTACATCTGCAATGACTATTTCTAAATAAGATCACATTTTGAGGTACTGAGAGTTGGTATTTTAACATATGAAATTTGAGGGGGACACACTTCAACCCATAACAGGAAGGAGAATGAGACCACACATGGCCAAATATTACTGCTGGGCTCCCTCTGGGGCACCAAATAGCCAGAGGGTGGCAAAGGATGCATTGAAAGTAAAACAAAATGGGGTAGAGGGTAGAGGAGCTAAATTATGAAAAGACACAAAACTGCAGGAAGCAAGTGGAGAAAAAGGAAGGAGGAACGAGGCCAGAAACCCAATGCAGTAAAATCAAAGACAACTTTCCGAAGCATGTGAGATTATATTCCTTCTGACTCATTTCTCTCCTTGTTTACTAAGCACCTACAATGTACTAGAAACTTTGCTTACACCCCCTGTTTAATCCTTGCAGCAATCCTGTGTGATAGGCTGTTTTCTAAGTAAGGAGTCTGAGGCTTAGAGAAGCAAGTGCTCCCTCTAGTAAATGACAGTCATAATTCAATTCCTGTTTGACTTCAAACCTCATGCACTGTCCACTTTACCAATAGAGTAAGAATAGTAAGAGTGACTAATTAACTCCAGCAATGGGGAATGTATGAAATCAGGACTTTAATATTAATAGAAAGGCCACTACTAGTACAATGTATTGCTTTAGGGAAAATCCTACCATAACAAAGGTCCAGGAAAAGATGCTGCTCATTTTAATATTTCTTGTGAAATTTTGAACAGGGGACACTTTGGGGATAATCGTTCTCAAAATTTTCTTGGGATGAAACACTTGGAATTACTCCCAGGAAAAACTAACATTGAAAAACTAAAATAAGCATGAATACATACTCGGTGCTAAATTATATATTATTATGTATCACCTGCCAGCTGGGAAGCACCATTTCTAATAAAAACTTGTGAAAGAAGGAAGTTAGGTGGGTACCCTGCAGTGAAGCCCAGTGCAGCCTACGCCTACCAGCTGCCCACCCACACTGTCATCAGGGCCCGAGGCAGAAGGGCGCCCTCTCCCTGTAGACCCGCAGCACCAGCTGCTCTTTGTGGGAGGCTGAAGAGCAGTCCCCTAACATCGTCCACACGTGCTGTGCTTGTGATCGACCACACACTGCGCTTCGTGCACATCAGCCTGTGATGCAAATGAGCCCCATTGTAAGTAGTGTGAAGTACACGGGATAATCCAGGCCAGAGGTCAGCAAACTGTGGCCCACTGGCCAAATGTGACCCACCTCCTGCTTTAAAAAAATTTAAATGTATTGGGTGGCATTGGTTTATAACCACCTATTTTATATAGTCTGTAAGCCAAAGACTCTTTTTTATCTATGTATATAAAAGGCTACGCGACCAGCCGACTGTCTGACTGGCCGGTAGCTGTGACACACACTGAACACCAGGGGGCAGATGCTCAACGCAAGAGCTGCTGAGTGACAGCAACTTTGCAGAGTGCCCTCTCGCACCCCAGGACCCCTCAGGGGATGTCGGACTACCGTTTTCAGCCCGATCTCTGCAGGCCAGGCTGAGGGCCCCCACCTGCAGGAGGGACCCAACTCACACCGCAAATGCCCTTCGAGCCCTGGTGCCGCCCCAGTGCGGCCGGTCAGGGAGGGACCATAGGAGGTTGGCTCCAGGGTGTGTCCGGCCCATCTCGTCCAGTCCCACCCCGCTGGCCACCTTCTAATTAATTTTCTTTGAGTGTGCATGAATCCGTGCACCGAGCTGCTAGTTTTTAAATGATTAAAAAATATGAAAAGAAGAATATTAGTGGTGTAAAAATTAAATGAAATTCTTTTGTGTCCATAAAGTTTTATTGGGACACAGCCACACTTACTATTGTTGTTTTTTATATACTGTCTCTGACTCCTTTTACACTTTAGCAGCAAAGTGAGTGGTTGTAGCAGAGTCTGAATGGCCCACAAATATACCTGGCTCTTTACAGATGAAAGTTTCCTTACCCTCCCCTCGGCCCCAGTCTCAGTGGTGGTGTCCTAGCATTTGTTGATTTTTAGCTTATAAACCTGGTTTAACTTACAGTACTGTGAATTGCTCTGGTGTAAGTCAACAACTCCACTACACAGATATCATCATCTGGGGGCTCTAAGGAAAATTTAGGAAGCTGAACCTGAAGCTATGTAATTGGTTAGAATGCATATGAAGTATGCCACATGCTTGTGCACACATGCAAACACACGTGCAATTGAACACACATACATGTCAGCACAGAATCACTAAATGGAAGAACTGGGATGGGAAAGGGAGAGAGAATGCGGATGTGGCTGAGCACAAACCTTCCCAAGAGATACAGAGTAAATGGGCAGAGTGAGCGGGACTCGGATAATGCTCGGAGGCAAGGAGTTCTGAAGAAAGGGAGAGGTATGTTTTGGTTAAGTAGAAAAATAGGACGCTCAGTCATGTCATGAATGCTGGGGTGGGGAAGTGACACTTGCAGGAAGGGAGGTATTATCTCTCTAACCAACTAAACGCCCATGTGTTCCCTTCTAGATTCATCATGGCCGAGCTGCTCCAGACAGAGAAGGCTTACGTAAGGGACTTACACGAGTGCTTAGAGGTGAGTACTGCAGTCGTCAGCCCACAGCTGTATAAGGAAACTGCCAGCCTCGACAGCGGCAGGTCCTTGAGGGGAGAGAGCTCTTTGTCTTCTCCCGGAACTTCACAAAAGAAACGCCAGCCCAGGAAATCCTTCTACCCGAGGCATGGTAATTGCACGGCAGGTTCAACTGCTTTGGAAAACAAACTTTTCTCAGACTTGAGCTAGACCCAGCAGAAAAGCTTGTAAGACCCTTGAGTTCAAGATAAAAACCATGACACAGTCAATGAACTCGAGTCTGAAATTCTGCATCCTCCCCTCAGCAAACACTCGGGCATGCACAGGTTTAATAAACAAGAATAGTGTGGAGTCTGTGCTCTTGACGAAGGTCATGGTGTGTTTCCCTAGCAACAGCTCAGGATAATGGACCGCCGGTTTTCTTCCTTTCCGCCCTGCTTATTTACTGTTTCCACTGTTTCCACTCTGCATGCGTTGTCACCTGAGTCTCACATCACAGCATGAAGGCCTGTTTATTTCGTCTGTATTTCATGTGGCCGTTCTTGCCGGTGATGAATTGTTGCTGTCTTACAGACCTACCTGTGGGAAATGACCAGTGGCGTGGAGGAGATCCCCCCTGGGATTCTGAATAAAGAGCACATCATCTTTGGCAACATCCAGGAGATCTACGATTTTCATAACAAGTAGGTTGGTGGAGGGTTTCCGCGGAGCACACTTAAGGCCATAGATGTCCAACGATAGGGCTTCCCAACAAGAGGATCAAGACTGCTTGGGAAATCTCGCCTAGTAAATTGTTACCTGTTAAAGTTTCTAAGTCAGCTACACACTGTCAGACTTCTCTCTCTCTCACCCATATTTCTCCACAATTGTCCAAAATTCCTAGTGGAGAAAAGTACTCAGCAGTGTTCTCCTTAGAGGCCTAACTGGCAGCATCTTTGTACTCAGTCAGAATGATAACCAGGCTTTTGAGGAAATAAAAGTAGCCTTTCCTCATTGTAACTGTGGGGGATCCTGACATTAGAATTCATCTGAGGCTAACTAACCGTTCCACCTTGTGGGCCTTAGATTTCAAATTCCACTGAAGTTCACGTTCAACTAAATATTTTCTCCCAACTATCCCATCATCTCACCCAAAACAACGGAGAAAAGATAGGTGGGTAGGTAGATAGATAATAAAAATACCTAATGGAACAGAGTTCTTGACATCCTATAGGGGAGAACATCATTTGTTCTTCTCTGTTTTGTTGAAATAAGTAGAACAATAGGGCCCTAAAATGTCATGACTCATTTTGTCCTGTTCCAGACTAGATTTAAGTATCTTTTCCACAACATACTAAACCACATGTTCCATCATTAACAGAAGATCAGCAAGAACATTGGTAACTAGTTATGTAACCTACGTAATGGAAATAACTCAAGTTTCCAAAATGCCAATAGGGAATCTCAAGACACAAGGAGTTTGATGGTACAAAATCCTGGAGCTCGCTCAGGACCCTGTTTTAGAGAAGGGGTGAGAGATGGAGGTGCAGTGTTGTAAGTCCTGAGGTCTGGCCACGGGGCTTGTACTGGGATAAGCAGTCATGCTGGAGACAGAACCAAAGCTCTCGGAGTTCCTGAGGAGGCCCGTGCACAAGGCACAGCCCCAAGGCAGGACTCTAGGCAGCACGGCCCAGCGGGGCTTCCTGTAGGGATGGAAATGCCATGTCTGGGCTGTCCAGCGTGGTAGCCCTGACACACGTGTGGCTATGGACACTGGAGCATGATGCGTACTCTTGAGAACTGAATTTTTAACTTTATTTCATTTGATAAATTTATATGGCAGGTGGCCACCATATTGAACAGCCCAACTCTAGAAAAGGAGACCTCAGTATGGCCCTTTGCTAAGAATGAGTCGGGGGCAAGCGTTGGCTGCAAAAGGACCCTGATTTCTAAAAGGTCTAATACAGGGTGGAGATCACTCCTCTCTTGTCCACTCCTGATGATTAATCCCCTGTTATGTTATCAAATGGCATCCATGTCAAGAGAACATACAAGATGTAGCTCCCTTGATGGGTTAACCTTGTCAGATTATGTAAACAGTAAGTTCTACAGGGAAAAACCATCGGACTTTCTGGAGAACTTAAATAAAGGTTCCCAGTCTTTTTTTTATCACAAATGTTAACACTCTCCTTGCGGTTTGTTTGGATATCTTCAGACATAGAAATAGTGTCTCCGCGTGCCTATTAAATAAGACCCCAGTAAAGCCATATTTGACCATTGATTCCAAATTTCTACCTCTGAGCCCAGCTCAGCATTACCCTGTCTCCTCCAGGACACCTGAGAAGACGTGGGACTGGTAAGCAGTAAGTCATGTGACTTTACTTTTCTGATTGATGATCTCTGGGATTTAGTTAACAAGTCTCCCTTCCTCATAGTCTTACCAACGTGACTAAGAATAAAGGATAGAAATTTGGAGATCACAGCATGCACTTCCTGTGAGCCCTGCTTTTGTCAAATTAGTGAATAAAGGGAAAGGATACTTATTTCAATTTGATCAGGTATAACAAAAATATCTAGCACAGCCATGCCCTTATCTGATTCCATGATGTCACTCTACTAACCATGGGAACCAGTTTGGTGGTGGTTTAAACAGCTGAAAGCCTCCCTACCAGTGACAAAGTAAATTCTAAGAAACCCTTAAAAAACAGTCACGTTAAGCCATTCAGAATGCTGCATACCATAGAGGAATAAATTCAGTTGTCAAGAACACAGCTACCAAACAAATGTTACCTATTTCTGATATTACAAAGAAACAAGGAGGAATTAAAAGCCAGCCTCTGAGCAACCGAAAGAGCTGTCACAAGATAAAGCCCTACCTTTTCAGAGTCACCTTTGTATCCTCTCTAAAAGCCGCTTTACTCTTAGATTGTTTTGAAGCTCAAGCAATTTAGAAGCACCAAACAAGAATCAAGAACTTGAGCAGGTAGTTCAATACCAGCAGCATAAAGTGAAACCTGACAGGAAAGAAGACACATTGCAATAAAATAGTCAAAAGAACCCACAAAATTAGAGGGGTCACTGGCTCTTCAGCATTGATGCAAACGATTCTATATCCCATCACAGAGCCTAGCGCAGCCACGGTCTCACTGGATAGCATATAATTGATATTAGTCATAACCCTGAATCATTAGTATATCCTGCATGAAACAACAAGGAAACTCATTAAAAAATGTTTTCAATTATCCACAATTTAAAAGAATGTCTAAAAAAATTAAGCTGTGTATTAATTTCCTACAGGATCTGGAGGGCTGAGGCTTTATTCATCATGTATACACATGATGAATGATGGAGAAAGCATAGCACGTCTACAATCTCTAATAAATAAGAGATAAAATGGCAATTAACCCAACTTTGAAAATGCAAGAGCTGTGAACTCCATAGAGATCATGTCTTCCACTGCACAACCCAGGCCCTGGCACACAGGAAACTTGGATAGTTGTTGGATGGGTGGCTGGATGATGGAAAAACAATAGAACTTTAGTTTGCAGACTTATGGCTAATGTCATTCAAGTCACAATTCAGTCTTTTGTTTGTTAGAGTCTCACAAGAGAGAAAACCCTTAGTTATGATTTCCCCCCATCACTACCAGAACCTTCTAGACCAGCAAGGTGATTGAATATCTGAATGAGGGAGCTTCCTGGGAGCTTCTTAATGGGAAGGCCATGCAATGGTCCAGGCACCTGTTTGCTCTTCAGGAATCATTTTCTGAAATGGTCACTTTTTAACCTGAGAATTTCCAAGGGTTCTTTTCTGCATCTTTCCAAAGTTACAATTAAGTGCTATCTAACAGAGAACATACTCCTCTCATTTCTAGTGCATAGCTCAGGTTGTCCGCCTATGCTTCAGAAAGGGAGAGAGGGAGGAAGGGAGATGGGGGTGGGGGGGGAGAAGGATTTCGACTGACACTGCCTGGATAAGCCAATTAGCTGAGTCACTAGGAAATTAGTACCTAGACCAGGGGTGATAGGGTATTGATCCTTTTAAATGGTGTCACTTTGAAAAATTACCACCAAGATTAGGGATTTATGCGTGTGTGTAATTCTCCAGGACCTTCATCTATATAGGTACTGAATGGAGAAATTCCCAAGTACCAAAATTTCTATACAGAAGAATAATTCAATATGTAGAATTTAATACGTACAAGTAGTGGTTTTAACACAAATTGGAGGTTCAAATGGAATGATACCTTGTTTTTACCCTCCAGTCCTTCGCCCTCCATCTCTTTTCTACAGAACTGAATATAAAGGTCATGAAACTTACCTTTATATAAGCAAGGACTAGACCGAGTTCTATCGTGGACTGCTAAGCATTCCAGGAGCACTCAGATACCATAGTATATTCCATAAATAGATCCCCAAACAGGTGTGGGTGTGTTAATACAGTCTCCCCACTTTGACTAACCTACAACTTGTGATTTAGGAAAATCATTTATTTGGTTTGCCTTGATTATTAGAATTTCATCTTTGGTGAGGACCGCTGTTTGTTAAAAATATTCATCCCCTTCAGTTAAGTGTGAACTTTCCTTTTTCCTTTTCAGTTATTTGGAGACAGGGCCGTACATGTGAGTGTGAGCAGGAACATCTTTATAAAATCTCTGCCGTCAGGCTCAGAGGGTCTCCTTCACTGCAGGCACAGCCATCTCCAAGTGCAGATACAGGCACTGAGACCCAGAAGAGCCAGGGACTTGCCTAGGGTGTGACACCCCCGCCCTTAAAGGTCAGGCAGAGATCCCAGTCGTCTGCTCTCCCCCCTCCCCACTCCACAGACTACCCCTGGGACTGCCAAATCTGGTTGGTTGGTTTCGTACCTAACCCGCTTTCATGGGGATCCCCACATTTGAGGAACACTCCAGCTCATTTCTTCCATAGGTATGTCATCCAGGTCCCGCACCCTCCCATCAATTGTCTGAAATAAGTCAGTTTTCAGCAAGACTTGGAAAAGCAAGTTGAGGAACCAACTGCCAGGGCTGGATAGGCCTCTGCACACTCCCTCCCTCCAGGCCTGGCACTCCCAGCCTCATGGCCGAGGGAGCCAGGGCCAGAGCCACGTGGGACTGACGTGGGAGCACTGGCCAGGCCAGGGTCAGCCTGCTAGGGTAGCAGGTGGCCAGGGTCAGCCAGGAGCAGAGGGTGGCGTGCAGCAAGGGGTGAAGACAAGGTGGAGGTAGTGATGGGAAAGGCCAGGGCCACATTTTTGTCATCTTCCCGGAGTTCCTTCTTGGGCCAGCACTGTGCTGGTTTGGAGTGGAGCTGGTACAGTGATGAGTGAAACCCAGTCTCTGCCCAGGAGTCAGCGAGGCACCTGTGATAGGGTGGAGGTGAGCACAAATGCAGCTCAAAGGAACAAAGAAATTGCTTCCATTGGACTAATAGGAAAGGCTTCACAGAGGGGAGGGCATTTAAGGTGGAATTTAAATAAGAGGGTGTTGTAGCTAGAGTTGGCCCCCTGGGGGGGGGGGGGGAGATAGAGCGAAGCCCTCCAAGGGAGGAGAGTGGGGCCTGTAGCAGGGAGGCTGGGAGGGGCAATGGGAGGAGTCCTTGGGGAGAGGTTGGCTGTCACACCCCCAGTTAGACCGTCTTGTCACATCTGTGTCTGAGATTGAGATTGAGGCGGGGGAAAGGAGAGGTGGTGAGGGGAGGTAGTA